TGCCAGTCTTATATAGAACCTTCGTTCTCAGAATACTACTACTTAAGGAATGTTGGTCGACAACCAACTCTGTCGACCAGTCGACTATCACGTGACCAACATGTTGGTAAAGGTATACATCCATATACATTATCCAACCAATTAACGGCTCCTGCTTACATAAGAAAACTCCCTTTGGTTTCCCAGAACACATAAAGCTCCCAGGCCCATATGTGCTCGGCTTGTCATGACGCCGTCTGGTCTTCACTTGTCACGTGTGCACGTGATTCGTGACAATACGCGCTAGTCTAGTAGAAGGACAAGGACAAGCTTAGGGAGCTACGCGTAGAGTACACAAGGCTAGACGACCCTAAATACGACCCTAAATACGACCCTATAAGCTCTTTAGAATCCTCTAGTAGTAGCTCTAAGTCTAAATCCGATTCTAGCGGCTCTAAGGACTCAGAATCCGATTCTGAATAAATTTTCGCGTTCCTACTATGTACAGAGATATATTAAAGTCGGAACTAAACCAAACCAAACTATTTAAGCTTAATTCGCAAGCACCAGAAAAATCCCAAGAAGTGGGGAAGAGCCTCTGTCGCCATTTACCTCGTAAATTTTCTTCCCAACTTTCCAGGTCCTCCCCCTCCTCGTGTTCGTATTAAGATTATATTAATATGAATCGCCACGAGTATTCCCATCTCCCCATCTTCCAGGTTCCTACTTCGTATATCCAAAAAGAAAAAGCCACCGTATACGGAAGAAGAGGGAAATCAAGATGCCAAATAATAATAATACCTAACGATGTAATGCAATACATACACGTTCTCACTACAGTCTGACTAGGTATTTACACAAAACCAACCCCCACCATGCATCGCTATGCAAAGCTAAACCAAAAACATCGCTACGGTACTATCTCCACAAAAGATTAATCAAGCACAATTACAACAAAAAATAATGCGTCATAACCCATCCGTACTTGTACCAACCAATACCCCAAAATCCACCAGATATATGCCATAGGGGTACCCTCAAACGCCGCAAATTCAACCGCTCCAATTGGTGTGCAAATTCCTCTTGTTCTCGCACAACCATGTCCGAATCCAGTATCTCAATATCTGCTAGATGGGCGTCCAACAGATCCATGGCGGGCGAGGCCTCTGACAGTATTGCCAGAACAGGCATTCAGGAGAACATCGACCACGCATCTTCTTAACGCGAAGGCCCAATATAAACCTCTCCATCCCCAAAAGGACCCTTATGCTGCGCCTCATTCTGTCTCCTAACAGACCTGTACCTCTCAGGCTTTAGTTTCCTCGTAGACTCTTTGCGGCTCGGTGTAGGCTCTTCGTGCGCATTCTTCTCCTTCGTCATCAATTGCCCCAGTAACCCTTTCCCCGTAAACGCCGGCTCAGTTCTCGGATTCGGATAAGGTGCATATGGCCTGGGAGATTCGTCTTCGAAATGGTCTCTCTCTTCCTCCGATTTATGATTTCTTGAGTCCGATCGAGGCGCTGGATTGGGAGCTCCCATTCCAAGATATCCTATGCCGGTGTGATGCGCATCAATGTCGCTATGTATGGGTTCTTCGATTTCTGCGTAGCTAGGGGCTAGAGGAGGTGATCTGCGGGATTTATTCATGTTGCCCTAAGTATGTCAGGGAATGCCCGGAACAGCAGAAGAGGTCAACAAACATAACCATCCTCCAGGTTTTTACCATGGGCTCTCCTATCGACCTTCTGCCCTACTTTATCAATGATTGCTTTGAAACCCATGCTTCGAACAGGATAAGATGTAGGAGTTGAGAGAGAAAAAGGAGTTGAGAGCCGAATAAAAATGTATAATGTACAAGCAAATTTAATGACTATACAATAAATACCAAAAACGCGGGGAATTGACATATATATATACAGCACTTGGGAAACTTCGCATATGCCGTATACGGCCCACGGCCGTTGCGTGGGTCGCTGGGGTAAGCTTATTCCAAGCCTCAAAATGCGGGCCGGTACACGCCGCTTGACACGCGGTTTTCTTATACTCGAGATGTGGCTCAAAACCCAAGTGCTTCTTACATACGAAGAAATTGCACAACAGGTATCGCTCAATAACACAGTAAATACTTCTCGAGTCGAAATAACGTCATCCCTTTTGTAGGATCGATACTAGGAGGGCATTCCGGTAGAAGGTCGGTCTTCGACCCATGTCGGTCTTCCTCACGACTCGCCCCTGAGAGGACTTGCTCGGTAATATACGATCCGAGACGGAAATATGACCACATAATGCCACATTACAGTCCTATTTGAAATGCTCTGCTCTCAAAAGTTGCAATGCTAGCCAGCCATAGCGGACGGATTTTCTGGTACTATGGCGATACAAATTTTGTTGATATGCCAAGGCAAGGAGAATCCAAGCCTTGTATTGCCGGCAATCGACTCGGTAAGAATTTTGGGCCTGTTGGCTTTGGCTTAAAAAACCATATGGCTTGGTAATATAGATCCGGGTTGAACTAGCGTGCCAGTAATTCAATAGTTGATGGCGACTGGATATTGGGACATACTGTGTGAACAAATTTGGGGGAACCGCCAAATCCAAACATCGGCAGATCAAGATTGATTGTAATGAGCATGCCCATTCCGAATCCCCGAGGCTTGCTGGCGCAGTATCGTTGGTGGCAGCCACGGAATCCAACATGTAATGATGTTCGGGGACGCTTGACATGATAGCCATTTTTTAGACCGTGGAGAACATTCTGCCATAATGTGAAAGTAAGATCAGTCCTGTGGGGAATACGTATCGATGATTTGTGTCATCACCACTATTTCATCCAAAAAGGTCTGATCAAAGGACAATGGCTCTCCGACCATGGTGCCCTCTGGGTGTAGCGAAGTTCCCCATGTTTTCTCGTCCATGGTGCCCTCGTGGTTGGCAATCTTCAAAGCCCATTCCATTTTTGGGCGCCATTCGGGGGGTAATATTGTCATTATACCGTTCACCTCTCGTTTGGCAACGCCTTGCAGCCACCATACATCATCGACAGGCTTGGTCAAGGCAAAGAAGCATGCCACTATGACCAGAGAGCGAGGGTCTTGATCAGTGACCATTTCGATAAACCTGCGGGACACGGTAGCAGGGAATGACAAGATCCTGTGCCGCACCGGATTTTCGAACCCCCAGTTCAAAAAGGCTACCGAGTGTTCGTAAGCGCCCCTGGTTAATTCGACCAAATGAGCTGGTAGTGTTTCCAGTTGCGCATCCATACCTTCCAACAATGGGGCAAAGAAAGATCTACTGTCGGGCTTTAGATTTAAACTGAGCGCCGGTTGGCTGTTAATGATAGGGAAGATGCGCCGGCTATTCCTCAGCCACTGCCAACTAGTCAGAACGATGGTCTTCACTCCTTGGAAGGAGTGAAACCAGGCCAGAGGTACGGTATAGCGATGATTGTCCATGCCCTCATAGATCCTCAATGCCGAAGCCTGGAAGGCTATTAGCGCCGCCGTCGAAAAAAGGGCTTCGGCGTTGATCTGAGAGGCACCATTCGTCAATAAGGAGGAATACTGGGCCAAACTGGCGGCCATATAGCTATGCGATGCGCGAACGAGAGCCCGGTCGTTGGGTTCGATTAAACGAAGATGTAGAGCCGAGACGGCCAGAATGGCATCCATGAGATAGCCGGCGTTATATGCTATGGACGGGACCGCCTCCTGCCATGCCAAAGTGGCGTCATCGGTGTCGGCAAAAGTATATGCGGTTCGTGCGGTATAGTGGTGCCTGTTCTGAGTATTAGAATTATCTGCTGGTGAAGCGGGTGGGTATATCACACTGACATGAGCTTGAGTTCCAGCAGTCTTGAGCTGGCCTGGTTGGTATTTGGGCGTATGAGTGTTGCGGGTGTTTGATACATGGTCAAGGAGTTCGCGAGAGGGCTTTTGGCTGAAGATGAGACCGAAGTGGCACTGTTAGGGCTCGCGGAGCTGGTCTTCCTATGGGCGAAGAAGCCATTTGCGGTGATGGGAGAGTTGTTGACTGGCGAGTGTGAGTTGGGATTGATGGACGAGCCCTCGAAATCGCACGAGACGCCATGTTTGGCGCAGTTTCCGCAGACGGGATGGATCTCGTCGCATTTGATCTTCCGAAGTTTACATCTCTGCGGGGGAACGAGTGGTTAGAAGTGGTGTTGACTTTGTCCATATAGTATATGCAGGTACGCGTTGGCACAGAGGCAGAGGTAGAGGCAGAGGCAGAGCAGAAGCACGGAGAGGGTGTACATACTTGACAACCGGCTTTGGACTTTTTATGGCTTCGACGGGGCCGTGAAGCAGACATGGTGTTGTCGATCAATAGCTATGCGAATGGGAATTGACGATGATCGAGCACTCGGAAAGTTCGACATGAAAACATTATAGGTTTGGTGTACGAGTAGACCAGTAGAGACCTGCAGGTGCAAGTACGAGTGCGTATATCTTTCCCGTCGCTCTGGCTCTCTACGGAGTACTAGGTAGGCGGTGCAGGCGCAGCGCAGGTGTGACCGTCGAGCCCGGGCCAGGGCCGATGCCTCAGATATGCCTCCGTAGGGCCGGGGACCGGTAGCGCGAGGCTGGAACGGGTTCCATTCTCCGATGTGGCAGTGTCGTGGTCGTGGTCGTGATCAGCGATAAGCCATAAGAGGCAGGCGAGCACGTGGCGAGGCAGGTAAGGTTACCGTTGCGTGGTCTTGACCGTTGAGTTGCCGTGACCGTTAGGATAATAGGATAGTAGGTCAAGTAGTAGATTAGTACCTACCTAGGTTACTGCATGTCTGAGTCCAGGGACCTTTGCAATCTTCATTTGTGGGGAATAGGGGGAGTGAGTCTATACCAGTATCGACTTATAGTCGCATACCTAGAGGTTGAGGCATCGCATCGGCCACAGTAGATTGGGTGCAGGTGCTGCTTCATGGCGGGGATGACTTGGCCGGGCGATAGAAGTATCCGTACAGAGCTCAGTGCGAGAGCAGTAGCGAGTAATTTACTCGAGGGAAGGTGCTCTGTTGGCATACACCGGCGATGCGCCGAGGACGCCGAGAGCACTAAACTTCGTAGATCGCTCCCAGGCCCAGGTCAGGTCTAGCAGGTCTAGGTACTTGTACATCTGGAATAATAGAAATCTTTACCAAGTACATCCCTCGCAACTCTCGCAGGTATATACTCTGTATGAGTACGATCTTCTCATGGACTCCCTCACCTACCGGCACTGCTACGACCACCACTCTCCCACAGTACATAACTCCTCCTTTCTACCACCTCTTTCGTACCTCCATACTGGTACACAGCTGCATTCACATCAGCCTCTCCCTCGATGGCGTGATCGCTGCTGGCCCCGTCCGCCTTTGTCTACGCACCATACGCTCCAAGCAAGGCAAGTGACCGGCTAGTCTTAGTAATTGTTCCTTAGCAATCAAATCACCTCATCTCCTTCCCTCATAGGTATCATTCTCTCACACCTTCTAGAAGTTTACTCGTACCATGACTCTCCATTGCCATTGCCATTGCCATAGAAAGACTTTAAATACTCTCCCTCCCCTCCGACCTTCTAAGTAGAAGCAATTTTCTTTCTACTTGGCATCTTTGCACCTCTTCTCCTCCTTTCTATCCTCTCTACAGAGACTCCAAGTACGGTACGGTACTGTTGTGTCGGTGTTTTTTCGTTACTGTTACGTACAGAGCATCTGCAACGCGAAAAACCGATCATCTTCTCCCCGCTCGCCTCCCCTCGCCTCCCCTCCTTCGAGGACCCTACTTTGATACCCCGCCTATTTAATTGCCCCTCCGAAAAATAATCTTCGTCGCGCATTCTCGACCGTCGACAAAGAAAAGCACGCCAATTGCTTCTCGGTGTACCTCGTACATCGCCCTCACAAATCATACCCAAGACTCAATACTTAAATCGCAGTCATGACGCAGACCGATCATCCTATCGAGACGCCACCGCGTGCACCCTCTCCCGTCCATCGCTTTGGGACGCTCGCCGTTCACGCAGGCTCGCCTCATGACCCCACCACCGGTGCCGTCATTGAGCCCATCTCCCTGAGCACAACGTTTGCTCAGACCGCCGTGGGGAAACCAGTGGGAATCTACGAATACAGTCGCTCTGCCAATCCCAATCGCGACAACTTCGAAAAGGCACTGGCCGCAATTGAACACGCAAAGTACGCTCTGGCATTCGCCTCGGGCTCGGCCACAACCGCAATCATCTTGCAGAGTCTGGCAGCGGGAAGTCATGTAATCAGTGTGAGCGATGTCTATGGGGGTACACACAGATATTTTACCCAGGTGGCCAAGGCACACGGGGTCAAGGTTACCTTCACACCGGAAATTGAGGTCGATATCCGGGAGCATATTACACCTGAGACGAAGCTGGTTTGGATCGAGTCACCATCCAACCCAACCTTACGACTGGTGGACATCCGCGCCGTTGTGTCACAAGCGCATGAGCACGGGATCATGGTCGTGGTGGACAATACCTTCTTGAGTCCATACGTGCAAAATCCTTTGGATCATGGAGCCGACATTGTTGTCCACTCGGTCACCAAGTATATCAATGGCCATTCCGATGTGGTGATGGGAGTTGCAGCCTTCAATTCGGATGTCATGAAGGAGAAATTAACCTTTCTACAAAACGCTATCGGCGCTGTCCCTTCTGCCTTCGACAGCTGGCTTGCTCATAGAGGTCTTAAGACTCTTCACTTAAGAGCTAGAGAAGCAACGGTCAACGCTACAGCTGTTGCGCATGCCCTTGAAGCCTCACCAAATGTTATCGCCGTCAACTACCCAGGTCTCGATTCCCACCCACATCGCAAGATTGCGCTCAAGCAACACCGAAACGGCATGGGCGGTGGAATGCTTTCTTTTCGGATCAAAGGAGGTCACGCTGCAGCTGAGAGATTTTGCCAGGCCACTCAACTCTTCACGCTTGCTGAATCGCTGGGAGGTATTGAGTCTTTGGTCGAGGTTCCAAGTAGCATGACACACGCGGGAATTCCAAAGGAGCAACGAGAAGCCGTTGGTGTCTTTGACGATCTTGTGCGAGTCAGCTGCGGTATTGAAGACGCCGAGGATTTGAAGGCAGATGTTCTCCAAGCTCTTGAGAAGGCTGTTGTCTGGCCCAAGGTTACCAATGGCCTCAATGGTGTAGTCGATGGCCTCTCACGTTAAGATGTGCAATGATTATCTACTTAGATTTCTGGTCTTTTACACCTGGCATTTTCATGGCGTTCTGGGAGGATTGGAAAGATGCGATTTGTAGGCATGATACCGAGTAGCGCGATTTGAAAAGCGTGCCTTTCAGGCTTGGGCTAGTTAGCGTGGGACATACAGTATTGGGGTTTCTTTCGTACGGGTGTTTCAAGGGTGGCATTTAAATAGCTGTGTAGCGAGATACACCCACAGATTTATATCTGTTCATATAGAGAGTTCGAAATGCATTTTCCCATTGTGTCCATTATGGAATTCATAATTTGGTATCGGAAAATCCGAAAAGGTGAGTGGATTAAGTATGAAAAGCCAGTGCTTGCTTGGTACACGCGCGCCATCTAATAATCTCTATAGACCTCTCCTCGTCTCTATGGCTTTCTGATCCTACGATGGGGATGGACCGTCGAATTCTTTATACTGTAAGGTTTCCTTGAGAAGAGCTTACACTCACTGATGTGGGTGGGACTTGTGGTTGCTTTAATTGGTTGGTCTCTCTCTTTCTCTCTCTTAGTTTTCACTAGTGATACCTAAGCAATATACAAGGCTTTAAGATCTTATTCCAGATCTGAAAACTGAACATCGAAAGTTGTTTTTGGGGGAGTGAGGCTTACGCTTTTGCTGGTATGTACAGTATGTATAAGATCTTCTTTGATACAGTACTTGATATTCACGAGTCCGCTTATGAAGGTTTATTGATTTTCTTCCTTACAGTACCTAGTTCATGTAAAGTTTCGATTTTGATCTCGATTTGTTTCTGTATTAAGTGGTTGGTGATGGTCATAGTTGGGAAGTCAGTCCTTTATTCTATTGTACTTTTAGGATTTTCTTGATTGAAGGTATGTTATATGTGGTATTTCTCATTTGAGATGAGCCTGGGAGAGGACCCACCCACCCATCTTCATATCTCGATGAGCCCTTGGAGATGAGTAAGTGTGTAAGTGTGTCTGTTTTCAAGCGATAGATATAAACACTGTGTTTAGCGAGGTTGTTGTTGTGCTGAGATATAGGACTGGATGTATAAACGAGAGGTCACTCCTTGGGATGTGGGATGTGTTTAAGGGTGCTGAGATGACGGGAACATGGTAAAAAAGCTGGGATCTGTATGGGAAATGTAGTGTGGCCTTTTTATCAGTCTACTACTCACTCTAGATCTGTCAAAGTTGGCAACATCGTCTTTCGCGTCTTCTCTAACTCTGTGATGATCCATAATCACAAAGCGGTCATGGCTTAAGGCTGAAATGCACCAATCTTTATAGACTGAACATGTTGAAGAAGGGATTTTGTGATCAGATCTGTTCGTATAGCTCGATGAATGTATTCAAACTCCAAGGAAGGGGAAATTAAGCTGAACGGTCTCCTAGTTGTTTTGGGGAATAGATATAATTCTTATATCGGACTACAAGTGTGCTAAGTGTCTATTTAGGTCAAACACTTAATGGTGGTTCGGTACTCAAAGAAATGAGATGTTGACCTGGTATCTAACGTTGGACTTGTCGAAATGGGTGAGCGTGATTGGGATTGGACTTGAATAGATGTGAAGCGAATACATGCGGTCCAAATTCTGTTGGCTAGCTGTTCATGATAAGATCAGTCTCGGTGAGTAGACTGTAGTGGGTAACCATGAAGGACTTTTTCTGATATCATGCCATTTGAGACGTTGGATGAAGTTGTGTATTGAGGTGATTAAATCAAGGGACGTCGACCTCCTCAATATTCCATTCTTCAGTGGCGCTCGATATTGAGTTTATATCTACGAAAAGAAGATTTCGAAACTCAACTCTCTGTCTGCTTGGTTGTTATACTGTGAATTGCAATCTATTCGTAGTAAGGAAGACTTTCCTTAATTTCCACCTGTAACTTTATCCAAGTTTCCAACTTGCGGAATGTTGAGATATCTCATGGCTATATCGAAGGACGAACTAGCTCCCTTGATTCAGCTCCTTAGCAAATAAACAAAGTTGATTGAGAGAACTTGGTATTCAGCTCCTCACCAAATAAACTAAAGTTGATGAAGAGAGCTTCGTATTGCTACAAGGTAATTCTCCTTGTTAGATTCCATATTTTCAGAGGTCGAAGGTCTATCACAACAGCTCATTCCCCTAAGAATAAATAGAAATCAAGCACCGCAAACTATCCTCTTCCAAAATCTCTCAACAAGATAGTTAGATGCTGTTGAAATAATAACGTAGCACAAACTCTGCCGGTAGATCGTTACCACAAAACCAAAAAAAAAGAAAGAAAGAAAAAAGAAAACGGAATGAGAACCTGAAATTGCAGAAAAGTGGTGTGGTATTACAGACGATATACCATGGCAAGTATCAATTCGTAAACCACAAGACGGATGACTACAAGCCGAAAACTATGGTGATCCGGAAGTTGTCAAAAGCTAAGTTCGATCTCGAGGCTTTTCGTAAGGAGACGTTTCGGAGCTGCGAACCCCAGGCGGCAGAAGGCGGAAAGCTCACAGACAGAGTCGGCATGGATGAGAGTCTGGAAGGGGACTTGAATTATAACCCTGCGGATAACGTGGGGAGCTCTGATAACACAGGGTTTGGTGATGAGAAGAAGGATTGGGCGGCAGACCTAAAGCAGTGGTCTAAGGAAACAGAGCGTCTAGAACCTAAGTAGGAAGACGTTGCAAAGGGAGCAGGCCATGAGGCTGCAACAAACGAGATGTTGGCCGAATACGCAAGTGAAGAGGGAACCGATACTCCGAGCGAGGAATTGCCTACCACGCCTAAGAACGTCGTTGGGAAAGGACCTACGAAAAAGACGGGAAAAAACATGGCGAATGCCAGCAAGGCTCCTCTGAAGAAAGCCACTCCGGAATGGGGAAAGACAGATAAAAAGACTGCCGATGAAGAGACCAGCGAGAACGAACCTTTAGGTACAACCGGCAAAATCGATGAAAACCAAAGTGAAGCTGTTTCGGCAAGGCGGTTCATCACAGTAAGAAGGGTCATCGGTATCTATTCCAATGTATATGGTAAGAGTACGAAAGTTGACAAACGACAGGAAAGGAGGTTTCGACGGCAAGAACTTTGCGAGTGATGGTGTTAATCATTGGCATTCCACACTTTGCATGAAGGAAATGACAAATATGTATTTGCCCTATCTTCGAGGAACGATTTGAGCTTGAGGTCTCTACTGGTAGTATTTTGGTCATCCTTGGAGGGACTTGTTTGCCTCGCGGCAATTTGGCAGTATCGACTGCTCTTTTATTCGTTTGGATATGATGGGGATTTTGTACATGAGGAATACCACTTGGCATTTCCTCTTCTTAGTTTTTGGCTATAAAGACTACATATATCTCGAGATATGTGGGTATACAGTTAAATTTATCTGTGTACCCAGGTGGGAAACCAAGCTTGGATACTGCGAGGGACAGAGTAAGAGAGATTTCGAATGAAGATTCGTACCTTAAGTACATGGAGGCAATGAAACTTGGTTCTCAGGCTCGATTTGCCGTTTAAGAATTGCGGACTTAGACTCCTAGATACCTGCGAGTCAAAAAGTACGACCTAGGAAGTATAAGTCCTCTCATCTATTGGCATTTCTATAACTCATTTTGCCCCAGATCTAGCAACCAAAGTACAAGATCCTCATCCATATCCACAACCACCCGTAAACTTTTGACTATTCCCAAACTCCAGCAGCAATACCCACCCATCACGATGCTCATCTACCCAGACATCTGCGCATCCTCCCCACTCTCATCATCCCACCAAAGACAAGGTCCCATACCAGAATCCTCCATCGAAGCAATAATACCATAAGGACTCTTCTTGACAATCTCTTCACCGTCACCAGTAGCTTTCGTGGGCGCTTGATCCGTCCAGACCTCATTTACAACGCGGAAGCGGACAATTTCGTGGTTATCGTAGTAGAGTGTGTCCTCTCCTGTATTCCAGATGAAACATTGTTCTGCTGTGTTGCTGGAGAGGTTTTAGTGGTGGACCATAGAAGGGGACGTATGGGCTGCTTACAACATTGCTCCTTCTGGGAGGTTTTCTACTGGAACGAAGATATCTTTGAAGAAATCTGTTTGTACTGGTATCTGTTAGCGTGCCCTTGAAGTATCGAGGAGAATTGAACTGGTCGGATATGAGTCCGCTCAGAGAAGACGTACTGTTGATTCCGTCTTTGGTTGCACTACTGATTTTTCCTAACATTACTTCATGTTTGAAAGGTCGGAAGACTACCATACGGAACTCGACTGCCAAAAGTGTTAGCATAGGTATTTATATGAGGAATTGAACTGGAGTATGAAGGTCAAAGCCTTTCTAGAAGAGAGCCTAGCAATTTAGAGGAGGGGATATTTGGTTGGGGGAGCAATCCTGAAGAGATGCCTGAGAGAAGATACAACCAAGGGGGCGTAACATACCATTGACATTGACAAGTCCAGTGCCATGACCAATCAATCCCTCTGAGGAAGACAAAAGGTCATATATACATATGCAGAGTCCGATCTTCTGGATGACTCTATTTGCATATTTTGCATTGATGTTGTTTTCTATGGCCAGTGACGCATGCTTGTCAAAATCCTGGGGCTCAATTTGAACCAGGTCCGCGATCTTGGTCTAGTATTATGTCAGGATTGAAATTCCACAAAAAGACGCGCACTTGACTCACAAGGATGAACATTTTGTTCCTTTCTTTGCAGGCTTTCACGACTGGAAGCTCTTTAGTATTTCTTGGTACCTGTGTGGAACTAGGTGTAGGTGACTGGATTTTCAGGTAGATGTTTGAATACCTGTTGTATGAAGGAGAACTTCACCCACACAATGGCCACTAGGTTGACAGTCCGAGCTTGCTAGTACCGTTCGCTTAGCCTAGTTTAGTGTAGGAAGGTTGCCTTGTTGCCTTGAGGTCAGACCACTTCAGCCTCTCTGGTCAAGACTTCAAGATTCCTTTCTCATACACCTTCTCCCTCAACACAACCACCAAACGGACCACCCCAACTTCCGTGGATTTCGCACTTTTCTTCTAGCACCTGTATCCAGACGCTATACAGATTCTGAGCCACTGCATGCACAGTTGCACAGCACAGGCCTGGTCTCCCAAGTGGTCGTGGTCAGCTGCCAGGAAGTTCTGATAGCTACGTTCAACCCAACCTTAAAAGATATATCATTCACGGAGTGTACGTCCGCTGGTCCAAGATCGGATCTCCAAAGAGCAAGGCTTTTTATGAGAGACCTATGATCTTGCTGGCTTTTGCACCACCTGTTGTGAGCACAATCTTAGGACTGGACAACCCACAGCATTCAAGTCTAAACTACTGAGCTTGACTGTGCGATAACGATAGCGATAACTTTAGCTTAATCTACAAAAAGTTCTCGACAGCGGCGGATCAGCCAAGCCTCAAGTCACCAAGTCCCTAGTCACGCTGACTGATCTACCCGTCCTGGCCAATACGATAGTCGGATGGTCGGTGAAATGCCTGGTATGTCTTATTATGTCCTCAGGTCTCCACTTTTCCTCACTCCAAGCTCACAGCTGCAACTCCTGCAATCTCCTATTCACCTCCTCATCGCTTCTCCCTTCCCATGGTTCAGGAAACCCGTTAACACATTCATTGCTTTTTGTTACAGACTTTAGCGCTCATTACGAACACCTCAAGAATCTCCACAGCGCTACTCATAATCAGAAACCAACCTCAACGGCAACTACAGGCCATCGCCTGAGAACTACACTGAAAACCACTCCAGTTCAGCAGCAACCACAGTCCGACGCGATGTCGGGAGCCCAGCAATACAACTTTCCACCACCACCACCTCCCCCAGGCCCTTCTCCGAATCAGCAGCCTCAGCAGCATCAATATGGCTTTCCGCAACCTCCGCAATACCAGCAACCCCAACGCGGAGGTTTCGCGCCTCGAGGCGGAAGAGGTGGCAGCCAGGGAGGTCGAGGTGATTTACATGCGACTCCATATGGTCATCCTCAAAATGGCTACAATGGACCTTCGCAGAATCAAGGCCCTCAGAATCATCAACAGGGTCCGCAATCTGGTTACAATGGCCCCCCTCAACAATCATCGTCGTACGTACACGTTAGCATAGGACCCCAAGCACCTCCTGCTCAGCATCAGGGGGGCTATGGAGGACCCCAATGGCAACAACAACAAAACGACCAACATGCACAACACCACGGACCCTCGCAACATGGTCCTCAACAACCTCAACACCATGGCCCCCAACATCCACAGCAGCATCACCCCCAGCCACCTCATATGCAACAGCATGCCCCAGTTCCAGCTCCTTTGTCTGCACAAAATTATCATCCCAATTTTGCTCCTCAAGCTTATAGTCAACCACCACAGTATGGTCCGCAGCAAACTCCACAATTTCAAAATCCTCAGCAGCCACCTTATGGTCACAGTGTGCCACATAATCAACAGGCTCCTCAGCAGTGGTCTGCTCCACCTCAACATACTCCGCCACAATTTAACAATCGCGGCCGTGGCAATGCCGGTCGTGGAGGTTTTAGTGGTCGCGGTGGTCCTGAACCTCCTTTGATGGGCCCCCCAATCCGAATGGGATTTGATAATGATAGAGGAAACCATGTGCCTCAAGCGAGCAATGGCTTTCCCCTTCCTTTTCAAACTCACCAAAGCCCTCCCGTTCCATTCAATCAACCGTATCAAAGTTACCCTCCTCAGAATTTCAGCGGGCAGCGCCCACCACTTGACCCCAATCCCTTCAATTCTGGCCCTCAGCGTGGTCGGGGAGGAAACATGAACAATCACAACAGAGGTGGTGGAGGTAGAAATCGTGGTGAATTTTCTTTTCGCGGTCGCGACCATCGTCATTCTAGCAATGGCCATGGCCACCGAGCTTCTTCTGAAAACTTCCATAAATCTCATAGTTCCGAGCCGAATGGCAAGAAGAAGAAGAAGCGTAGAACTACCAATACTCTCGGCCTCACACCAAATGGTGCTGATCATGATGAGAGTGAGGAAGAAAACGACGAGGTTGATGAAGAAGCTCGTCTTGTAACTTTGCTTGGTCCAGATACCCCACAGTACGTTTTTCTCTTTTTTATATGATTGGAAGATTAGTTCTTCTAGTCCGTGTAACTAACATTGCATAGGCTTCCGGCTGATCTTGAAGCGTGGCTTGCGGAGCGCAGAGCCCGATTTCCTACGAAAGCTCGTAGAGAGGCTGCTGCAGAAGAGCTTCGCCAGCGCCGTGAGCAAGGTCGCAACAGTGGCGGCGGCAAACAAATCAAACAAGAGCGAGAAACCCATGTCAAAAAAGAAGAGGTCCATATCAAGAAAGAAGAGGGCGAGACCAAACTCGAGCGACAGCAGAGAAAAGAACAGAGAAAGGCGGAAAAGCTTAGACAGCTTAAGCTCGAAGTTGAGAGACTTGAGCGCAGCCAGCCGGGTGCTAAGCGCAAACGTGAGAATGGCGACGAGGGCGATGATGACCGTGGACAGGCAAGCGATGATGATTCTGATAGCTCAAGTGGAGATTCATCGGGCTCAGCACCAGAAAATATGTCATCTCGAAACGGTGGTCCTATGCGTGTTCCACCCCCACCAAAAGCACAGCTTCAGCGACATTGCAAGTATTTTTCGACCGGGGGTACCTGCGGCAAGAAGGGCAAGTGTCGTTTCGTACACGATGTCGAGGTTCGTAATCAAGCAATACGAGACAAGGAGGCAAATGGAGGCAAGATGACTCTTGCTCAGCGTCTGATTCTCAACGACACTGCCAAGGATGATCTGACCATCTTGAAGTCAATCAAGTACCTCAAGGAGAAAGGGTTAATGCCAGACCAGACTGCCAGTGCAAAGAGTGGCGATGATCATGGCCTTGAATACAATGGCGAAGAAAACGGCTACACTGAGAACTTGAATTACGGCGACAACTGAAGTCCTCGGTGTTCCTTCAAGTTTCTTTCAACCTATTTCAGTGGTGGGTTTAATTTGCGACGTCTCAGTTTCGGTACTTCACTTCGTTCGTCATTCATCACTTCTTCGGCCTCAGATATATGATTCAGCGCGCGATCTGTTTGCTTTGTTGGACTTGCAGGTGCGGACACTAACGCTGAAGGCGTTCTTGATTCGATTCCTTATTGTATTTTGAAAGTTTGCTGTTCGATCTCTTTCCTTGTACTTCATATGGGTGCGCTACGAAAAGTTGGGAGAATGACGAGCAGTAAATTCTGGCAGGTCTGCAGTAAAAGCCGCAAAAACTCCTCGGATGGTTGCGATTGCAGCACTTCCAGTCACTTTTTTTCTTCCATGTGTTAATATCTTCCAGGAGACAAGGCGTCGGCTGGTTTCTTCGAGCAATTTGTTTAGCAGGGAGCTTTGATCATCAATGTCAGGTCTTCAATTTATCAGAGTTTTCTTATGCTCTTCAATGAAGTTGACTGGATGAAGTTTAATGCCTCCTTGATAGTCATTTCCTTCTTTCGATTTCCTTTTTCTTCCCGAAAATGTAGAGTAGGCCGTGGTGCGTTTTTAGCAGAATCAATTTTTTTTCTTTTCCTTTCCTATTGTATGATACTGTAACTTCGGGGGAGAAGATGAAGATTGTAATAAATAGAATGAATGGCAGGCAATGAGATTCGATTATTGAAATTATACGGGTGTATGATTTTCACCTCTTTCCCATATATACAGCAGTTCCACTTCCTTGAGCCTAGTGGTGTGCATCTGCCCATACACCTAAGCCATCCTTCTCCCCTTGATCTCGAGTAAAGATTTTATGAAACCATTTTCTTTCTGAATTTCCTGTAGCATTCACAACACTATCGACCGGTACTTGGCTCTCAGCAGTGCTGGGATTTCCAGTCATAAGGAGTCGATACATATCTAGGTTCCCCTTTTCATGTTAGGATTTCTTCGCTTTTTTTCTCAAGTGGTTTGTGTTGACTATCAAGCGAATACTCTTCTTACGTTGGATGGGTGGTTGGGATGTTTTCTTGGGTTATTATACGATATATGGGATATGGGGACTTTGGATGATGTGGAAACTGTTGTGCTATGATTGATGGAGGGGGTGTTCTTTGTCGAGATGTCTTGTCCTGGTTGATTGATTGATTGATTGTATTTGATTTAGAATAAGTAATTGTCTCTTTTAAAGTCCTTGATAGATTTTGGTGCTGTGGTAAAGTGGGATAACTGGTGATTGGTTCTTGATTATTTTGGGTGAAGTCTTTGGATGGAGGGGTGGAAGATTCTGTGTAGTGCGGTGGATGTTATGGAAGCGTGGATAGGTTCTTGTACCCATTCATTTGTTGGAGTAATGATGAGAGTGCGGAGGAGGTATTGTAGGGGAAAGGATAGATGATTCATTTAGTTCGTTTATAAGAACCGTTTTTCGAAGGCCTCACTACCTAATGATCTGACAAGTTCTAGTTCAAACACAGCTGAATGAACTTTCTCTAGACTAGCTTCACGGCCATCGTGTGTAGTCACTTATTTATCTACTCTCTCCAGCCGACTTACATAGTTTACATCTATTCGTCCAGTGATGCGAGTGCTTATTCGAGGGCTTGTCATGAATAGGGTGCTGCCGGGATGGATATTGATGGACAGATAAGCTTTTATCTGGTACTGTATGCCGTACTCGTAATGGGGAGTAGGACTGTAGGGGTGAGAAGACTACTGTACCTATGTTTTAGAGGGAAGGTTGGAAGAGTAATCATAATTCTTTTTTATCATAGTCAAAGTATAGAATAAGATAGATGTGAATCTCAGAAAGTGTAGGTAGGTAGTCGTGGAATGAGACTTTGAAGCGCAGTTCCAAGACATGACCTGTACGAAAAGCGAGTTTCGATAGAATCATACATGCTTGCGACTCGTCGAGAGATGTAGAGAAGTGTGGAGTGACAAAGAGTAAGGAATAACAGGATCACTGCTCGTCCGGAAGAGCTCTGATAGTTTTCATTGTTACATTTTGCATTTCGGATATGAATCTACCCTACCCTCAAATACAGAGTCATTGAGAACCCCATTTATATTGCTTCAACCTGACTAGGGAAACCAATATCTGTCACAGTTATCGGGCCGTGGCCAGACGTTTGTGGTACAATTCTCGACCTCATGAAAACTGCCGCAAACTGCAGCTTTATGTTACCAAGTGTTTGCCCCAAAGAAAAACCCGTCATGAAGTCGAAGCGAGGAAACCGAGGTACAACTTTGATCATGGATTCAATTCTCTATTCTCCAACGAAAACATCAGCACGTAGCATTGATCTTTGTACAGGTGTCTTCTCTCTTCCCCACCGTTAACCACAGTTCAGCCCACTTCTGTGATTGCCACTTTTTTTGTAAAAGTCTCCAAGCTCCAGCCCATATATGCACATCGAACCACCCCTTCTACCGCAGGAAAACAAATGAAAATAGATTTAGGCAACGCTCGGGATTAGGTCGCGGAGAAAGTGAGCGGAGTTCGTTGTAGGATTTAGTTTTTCTTTGGTGCGCTTTGGACTTGGCCCTTGCCAGAGTATCCTTCGGAGGAGATACCAGTGATAGGTTCCGAGTTTTGTGCCTGCGAGTGGATATATTAGCTTGACTTTTCGTGTATAGATGTTTTTGCCCTTCGCTATGCTTTCTTATTCCTCCCTTTTTAATGGCCACCTTCACCAAACACGCCATGGCCAATTCCATATATCCGGAATCCAAATATAGCTCCATGCTAGCAACACCCAAAAATCGCAGAGAAGTTTGTAACGTACCTTGAGATACTCGTTGGTTGCCTCTTGGTACTCCTTGTTCATTGTTGATGGTCCTTCTCCTCCGAAATAACGGATAATTGCGAAGAGTACGGCACTGGCAGCAACACCGAGTGCGACCATACCAGCGACTTGCATACCCTCTCCTGGGGGAGTGAGAGCACGTGGGCCATGGTCGCCAAAGGCAATGTAGTATGCTAAGAAGACGCAAGGAAATTAGCTTCTTTCATCTATTGACTTCTATGGTCTGTCTGATATTATGCCCGAAGTGGGGTCAATGGATGAAAAATAGTCCTCCTCGGACCTCGCATAAACCAATCGAGAGATTTTGAAGCTCTGCCTGAGCTTTGTGTGTCGTGTTGTAGCTATGTGGAGGGTTGAACGTACATGCTTTCTTCTCTTGTGTCGTCAGCTCAGCCCAAGGAGCCTTCATTCTATCCCTCAAAGACATCCACAACTCGGCCTGCTCTTGTGGTGGCATGGTCTCCCATCTCTTCTCGATTTGTGCCAGTTCTGGGTTTGAAATCGCGTGGGCACATCTTTGCTGGACGGCGACGGGCGATCGTAAGATGGTTCGCGAGCTTCGCATTAACGAATTGCGGAACATGGCGAAGGAGTGTGATATGGTACAAAAGAGGGGGGAGGGTCAATGGATTTCGCTGGGAGTTGGATCGAACTCCGAAGTGGATAGGCTGCGACGATGGTGGGCTGGTAATCTGGTGGTTTGGGCCGTTCAAGGAGGAAGTCGGAATCAAGGTTAGTTTTCCGAATATTTTAGAACAGATCACGTGGAGCGTGGAGGGGACCATCACATCCATCGCAACCTGCCTATTCACGACTCAAATGGATTTGCAATTGTATATTCAAGTTGATACTTGAAGCATTCGTGATCAAAGTACGCCTTGAGAATGAGTGTATTTGCGAGATAGCCAGGACGACTTTCTGCATGCGAGCTACAGATATAGGTACTGAGCTCATTTGCGTTAAATACTGTGTGGCTGAACCAGCTGCCAGGAACCCGGTAGAGATGGTAGAGATCTCTGTAGCCAGTTAGGTTGCGACCATTACAACCTTTTTCCCAAATAACATTTTCTTACGTTGTACCAAACAAACCAACACCTTCTTCTTTACTGCGTTCATGTAGCATAATTTAGTTGTTTCGTACCATCTGGCTTCGTCATGGACTTTGACCGTGGCAGGAAACGGCTTTTGTTGTTTCGCTTTGCCAATTCAAGCGATGATTCTTACTAGCTGGTGCTAGCTAAGTTTTGATACACGATATATCGAGGTATCTGATTACCTATATCACTCATCTGAACTTGACCTTACTGGTTACCTATGTATGTGTATGGATTTCGATCAATGCGAATTTATTGTACTTTGATGCAACTTGATGGTAATCAAGCATGTGGCTGCTGTTCGAATGTTAAGCTGGGGGTTTGAAGTCTATTTATTAATATGGATACTACCTACCTAGGTAAGCGACCCGGGGAAGCTGAGTTCATAGGTAGTCAACCACAAGACCGTTTTTACGCATGAGCGCGAAACCAACTCCACATAAATACATTCCTTGAGTACGTCTCACTCCATCGCCATTTAAGACATGGCGGCAAGTCATGTGATTTATAGACCTTTGAAATGGATACCTAAGGTAGAACTGAATTCGAGACTACCGATGACGTTGTCCCCCTGCTTGTTTAATTCTCCGGATAGAATAGAGACAGCTCATCATATGTTTGAGGGTGTCCATGGACACGAGTAAGGTTGCGATAAAGAAAAAGAGAAGAGACATAAGAATTTTGGCTTGGACATAAGCTACTCCGCGAACGGCAGGGCGTGAAATCGTTATGACCGTGGGTAATCAACCTGCATGATGCCAATACCAGCTATCATAAAGACCTCAATGACGTTCAAATGGGAGATCTAGGTGGTCAATTGATGTTTGAAACTCCAAACGATATCAGCTCCTGTAAGGTGTATGAAGTAGATGGTCTTGGATGAGGCGTGGGGCGTTATCAGAAAAAGAAAATGCGAGATATCGGCCGGCGCATAATATTTGTCAAGCAACAAACACCCGGTTGGCGTGAAATCGAGTTTGCACTAGAACATCTTGGCCAAATTCAAACACCAAGACTACTGCAGGAGGTCGAGCTCATACAATGCGAATGGAGAATAAACTCGATACCATGCAATCAGGAAATTCTTGAGCAACACGTGTATGGAGCTGGTGGGGTGGCGTTGGAGATTGACGAGACGACTTCGGAGGCTGCGAAGGAAGAAGGCAGGTAACCGCTTGTTGCTCATTATTGGAAATCATAGCCACTCACTCCCTGATCTTATGTCGAGATAGTGTGAGTTTTGGGTCCATTGTTGGTATCAGGGAGAGGTGGATGCTGGGGTCAATAAAACCTCGCCTAGCCAAGGACTATGCTGGTGGTTGCATTGGATGAGATGAGCTCACCGATACAGTGCGTACTCATAGATTGTAAATTCCTCAAGTCTGCCACTGTGTTGTTGGATACATGAGGTCTTTTCATCGGTGGCCGACATCAAGAGAAAAGAAGATGAGTCAAATGCTAAGTAATACTGGGTAATACATAATAAGCAGAGCGAGTACGGCAGCCACCGATGTCAAAAGAATGGACGCAGAAACTGCGAGATTTTCAATCGCTGCCGTCATATTAACCCTGGTGGCCAAATCGTCTGCCCCTCATACTGGTAATGCTGCCGGTGCTGCCTTCACCAGAAATGCCTTTCCCGTCAGAGCTGTCCGCTGCGTTGCTTTTGGACCCGTGGGGTGAAGGATTGCCCCTCGTTTACTGGCGTGGGCACGGAGCACTGGCACTGACTGGCACTGGCACCTTGGAGGGCAACGCAACTTACGCAGGGGTAGATTAGTCGATTAGTCGCTCAGCACCCCACCTCCTCCAAACTCTTTCCTCCTCCCAATCTTCTCTCCTTCCCCTCCGAACATCACCAACTCATCATCAAACAACCTCTTCTCCTTTCACAAAACAGTACGTATAAAGCATTCCATCTCCCATCTCCCATTCCCATCTCCATCCCATCTTCCTCTCTCGCGCCTCGCATCTTCTGTTTTCTGCGTCTCCATTACCCCTCCAAAGCTTCCTCTACCAGCTACCGCCCACGGACATCGAAACGCAACACCATTCTAACCACAACCACAACCACAGAACCATGGCTCCTACTAAGATTGGAATCAACGGCTTCGGTCGTATCGGTCGTATCCTCTTCCGCAATGCCGTCGAGCTTGATGACATTGAGATTGTTGCTGTCAACGATCCCTTCATCGAGCCAAAATACGCTGTAAGTTTCCCCGCTATTGGCTTCGCACAAAGGAATCCACCCGATACTAACAAACCTACCACAGGCATACATGCTGAAATATGACTCCACCCACGGTCAATTCAAGGGCACAATCGAGGTTGTCGCCGATGGATTGAAAGTTAATGACAAGGTCGTCAAATTCTACACCGAGAGAGACCCAGGAGCTATCCCATGGAGCGAGACCGGTGCATACTACATTGTCGAGTCTACCGGTGTCTTCACCACCACTGAGAAGGCCAAGGCTCACTTGAAGGGAGGTGCTAAGAAGGTTGTCATCTCCGCTCCTTCTGCCGATGCTCCTATGTACGTGATGGGTGTCAATGAGAAGACCTACAAATCCGATGTGGAGGTCATTTCGAACGCATCATGCACAACCAACTGCCTTGCTCCTTTGGCCAAGGTCATCAACGATGAGTTCACCATCATTGAGGGTCTCATGACCACAATCCACTCATATACTGCTACCCAGAAGACCGTTGATGGTCCTTCAGCTAAGGACTGGCGTGGAGGTCGTACCGCTGCCCAGAACATCATTCCTAGCAGCACTGGTGCCGCCAAGGCTGTCGGAAAGGTTATCCCAGAGCTCAACGGAAAGCTCACTGGAATGTCCATGCGTGTACCAACCTCCAACGTTTCCGTTGTTGATTTGACCGTCCGCATCGAGAAGGGTGCTTCTTACGATCAGATCAAGGCTGTTATCAAGAAGGCCGCCGATGGACCTCTCAAGGGTATGTTACAAAAATCATTGCAAGACTTCCAAGCTAATCGTGTTTGCAGGTATACTTGCATACACTGAGGATGACATCGTCTCCACTGATATGTGCGGTGACAACCACTCCTCCATCTTTGACGCCAAGGCTGGTATCTCTCTCAATGACAACTTTGTCAAACTCGTATCTTGGTACGACAACGAGTGGGGTTACTCTCGCCGTGTCCTCGACCTTCTCAGCTACATTGCAAAGGTTGATGCCGGTGCCAAGTAGGATTTCACTCAATTCTTAAAACTTGTGAACCTCTGAGCATCGTTTCTGATTGCTCTTTTCTTCCCGACAGAGATGTTCTAAAAGGCAAACTGTAATGGGTACATGAGAAAATCTTGGGCATGATGCTTTTTAGCATTAGCAGACGAATGATGGGACATAAAAACCTTATGATATGAATAGAAGCCCTCAACTCATGAAATGAATGGTGTATACATGCTTTCTTCCTTTTGTGTTCTGAAATCTAAAGCTCCAAATAACTTTTAAAGAACTTGGTAACAAGATCCTAGTAGGCCCCTAATGGACAGAAAGAATGACATTTTCTTTTTCTTCTCATTAGCGCAAGTTGAATAAGTATATTCAATCATTTCATATACTTCAGGACAACAACTACTCTGATCGTTCTAGGATTTCCAGATCCCTTTTCATAATCTAAGTAGTGTAATAAAATTGTATGAATTAAGATACGCCAATAGCAAAGAGTTCTCTACGACCATTCTTCTCCACAGGGCAATGGGTACTATTGTTAATAGTTATTGCCAATTATGATTCTTGCGCTCATGTATTCCTACGTGGTGGTGACTGCTTTGTAACAAATGAATCTGTTCTAGCGATTGTTAACCCCGCTAGCCTTGAGAAGGACCCAATTACTTATCTATTGTCGTTAAGACACTAGTAATATAGGAATCATTGAAAATTACTAGTATATATTTCGAACTGATTAGTAGGTAGGTAGGTATTTGAAGTAGGTAGTAGATATTCTTTTATTGTTCTAAACTTTTGAATTAATTAGCTTATTAAATAGCTTGTTAGACTAACTATTTCAGCTTAATTGTTGATTAGATTTTTGGAGAGTTTTATAGTTTTTCTCTGTATATACCTACCTGAGCTTGTAAAAACGCGGATTACCCAAGTGATTGGACTTAAAGCAATAATACCATTCACGTGACGTCGTACCTCTGGCTCTGATTGGCTGGATTCCGCTTAACCACCCTTGCTTATGTAAGGCAATGGGTCCATTTTTATACAAGGGACGTGCGCCGACCCTTCACCTTGTCAATCTGGGTCTCTTGTCTCAAGCTTCCATCTCTTACTTACACCAGAACCACTCGACCACACCAAAGCGTCCTGTCCATCCTTTTTTTTGTGTAAACAGGTGCATCTCCTCGGTATGCTTTTGCGATAACGACTGATGAGCGAAACTTGAACCTGATTTGGACTTGGGTCGAACAATCGTGAGGGCGCGCAGGGTAGGGGCGCATCTGCGCGTCTGTTTGGAGAACAGAGGAAATCAAGGTTAGTGTATACCATTCATTGACTTCTCAAAGAGCCCTCCCTTTACGCGTCTCCTGCTCTTTGTTATCACACAATGAGAACAATTCCTCTATAGCTGCTTCGCCCTTGCTTTGTTGCTTCGCATTTTACTGGCAATGCACCTCTGCCATCGGCCATCCTTTGTCACCTGATACTTCTCCATCTTCATCGCTCTTGTACTTTCTCGGCGGAGTCCCCCTGGCCGTCTTCTACTGTTTCTTCGTCCTTTTGCTTTCTACCCAAGGCCTCAGTGAAGCTAGTAGCGTCATCACCGTTTATTTTGGTTATTGCCGGGAAATCCTGAGGCCATCTTTCTCTTCTCCTATATCGGTTTAGCCAAGTTCTTAGTCGTTTGTTCTTCATAAGACCGCAGTCTCACAAATCTTTTTAGACATTCATTTGCCTTGACCACAAGATAGTGGTGACGACACATCTCAAGAAGAACACTTCACTTCTACGGCACTTCACTTTCACGGCACTCACTTTCACGGCACTCACTTTCATCAATATTTACCTTGTCATTTCACGTTTCATCTCTTCGTTCTTCTTTAGCCGCGAAAGCAACCATGGAACCCCCTTTTACATCTACTGCTTTGCAAAGCAGTGCAGTAGATACCATTATGGGGGAAAATGAGGCTGCTTACGAAACCAATGGCCATCTTGTGAACGGCGGGTACCTTGATCCTCGAGAATTGCAATCGCATCCCTACACTAACCAAGAGAACTCACCCAATCAGCCTCATCGAGAAGCGAAGAGTGAATCATCTAAGTCGCAAGAGGAAGAAATTGAAGACACAGTACCGTTTCTCGAAAGATCATACCTACCAACAGGTTGTTGTTACGACGATCGGATGAAATATCATGCAAACGCAGATTATTCCGATAATGTACATCACCCGGAAGATCCACGTCGTATAGAAGCGATTATGAATGCTTTTAGGGAAGCAGGCTTGATCTATGGAGGAAGTGATGAGGAACTTGGAATCATATTACGCGAGGCGCCTACCAAATATATGTGGCGTATTACAGCCAGAGAAGCGACGAGGGAGGAGATTTGTCTAGCGCACACCTCTTCTCACTACGAATGGGTCGAAGATCTGGCGACGAAAACCACCTCCGAGCTTCGCGCCATGACCATGACATTTGATGAAGGCCGAAAATCATTATACGTAAGCAGCCTTACGAATTACGCAGCCAAGATTGCTGCGGGAGGTGCTATCGAATCCTGCAAGAGTGTTGTTAAGGGCGAAGTGAAAAACGCTATCGCGATCATTCGACCGCCTGGTCATCATGCAGAGAACAATGAGTCGATGGGATTTTGCATCTTCAACAACGTCCCGGTTGCAGCCAAAGTATGCATGAAGGACTATCCGGAAACATGCAGAAAAGTCCTTATTCTTGATTGGGACGTTCATCATGGCAACGGAGTACAGAACATCTTTTATGAAGATCCAAATGTCTTGTACATTTCAATTCATGTATACCAAGATGGCAATTTCTACCCTGGAAAGCCGGATATGGAGGGAATCCCTGATGGAGGAATACCAAACGTTGGGTTTGGCCCTGGCGCCGGGTATAATATTAACATTGGTTGGCACGCACAGGGTATGGGAGATGGAGAATATATGGCCGCCTTTCAGAAGATAGTCATGCCAGTGGCACAAGAATTCGATCCAGATCTCGTTATTATATCTGCTGGCTTTGATGCAGCTGCTGGAGACGAGCTGGGAGGCTGTTTTGTCTCGCCAGAGTGTTACTCGCAAATGACACACATGTTGATGTCGTTAGCTGGCGGCAAAGTTGTAGTGTGTCTAGAAGGTGGTTACAGTCTGGACGCGATATCGAGATCCGCTTTGGCGGTAGCCCAGACGCTGATGGGAGAGCCCGCCCAACGCTTAGCAGTTCCTGCATGCAACGCTAAGGCAGGTAGGGATCTGGACAGTGTGCGGTTTGTCCTTAGTCCCTATTGGAAGTGTATGAGACCTGGTATTGTCCAAGTTCAGGATCTCGAGGCCCGAAAGGCTGAGAGGTTGAGTGCCGTTGTGAGAGCCTGGGAAAAGAACGAATTATGCAGGAAGCATAATATGGCTGTGGTACCTGTATTGCGAAATAGGTTGAATAAGGTCTTTGAAAACCAGGTTTTGGTGACTCCCAAGATTGCATATGCCAAGAAAATTTTGCTTATTATTCATGACCCGTAAGTTCTCTCCCATCTCCTCGGTCTTTGTATTAATGAAGTTTAGGCCCCAAATAGTTGCCCAAGCGGATAGTCTGACTAATAACGTTCTGTCACATAATGCATGGATGGTAAGTTGTTTATTACTCATGTTCAAAAGGCTAGCACGAAAAACTAATCTATCTAGCCTACCGACATTTTTCCATTCATCGATTGGGCCGTAGAAAATGGCTTCGGCGTTATAGATGTTAACTTCCCTAAAGAGATACCACAAAACGATACTACACCTTTCCACCAAAGACCAACCGAAGATGATGTGCAACAACAATCCAAGGACTTGCTGGGTTACTTGTGGGACAATCATCTCGCGATATTTCCAACAATACCGGTTGCACTATTAGGTGTTGGCGATGCTTATCTAGGCATCAAGCAGCTATTAATTTCAAGAGGTACGTCTACTTGTTGCGAACCCTATTATAATCATAATGCTAATTTTAAATTATAGAAGTAAGACATCGTATCCCTTGTGTTCTGTCCTTTGTGACAGGCTCTCTCCGTCCTGTCAAATCGGAAACCGACCCAGGTCTCTCAACCTGGTACAAAACCAACTCACTAATATACGTCTCCTCCGACCACTCCTGCTGGAATGATGAAGAAAACCACAAACGTGTGAAGAAAAACCGATTTGGACGAGTCGAACAGAGTGAAGTCACCGGGATTGGTAGTATGCTTGCCAAATACCAGAAGAACGCCACGGCGTGGCTTGGAGAGCAAGTCAGAAAATGGGAGGCGGAAAGAGGTAGCGATCCTGATGAAACGGAGGAAGAAGGTGAGTTCGAGATGGGAGATGGTTTGGGTATGTCTGGTCCTAGTACTGCTGCTACCTTTGGACCACCTTTGAGTGTGGGTGATCCGGGAATGGGAATCCCGATCAACGTTTAAGTGGGTGATGTATTGTTGGAGCAGAGAACAACGGCTACGCTGAGTGGAGTTCGGAAGGGAGGAGAATTGTCGAGTGAGGCTACGGCATATAGCTGTTCCGTTGTGGTTGTGGTTAACGAGATTTGTGGCATGGGATGTGTCGGATTACCCATTTTTTCCGAGAGCGAGATTCCAACCCCCTTTTTTTTGCTCTTGCTTTTCGCATACATAGCACGCATTTGAACGAGCTTTTGTTCTCTTGCTCCATTTCTTTCCCGTTGTTGGCGGTCGTGGAATGGATTGCTACGAGATTATGTTGTCGCTTTCTTTTTATGGCGCTTGCTTAGCTTACATGTAGCTTGTCCAGCTTAGCGTGCTTGTGATATAGTACCTACCTATGAATAGAGCAAGAGAAGAGAACAGAGAACTGAAGATTTAGCAGAAGAGTACCTTTACGTTACCTACCTACTCCATCAATATGAATCTTTGGCTCTTGCCAGAAAGTTCGCTCACGAAATGAAACTTACAGGTATTAGGTATATATAATATACATCATCACAAACATCTAGATTCAAATTCGTAAAAAAAAAGAGCTCTTATTCAGGAATCCCTAATATCATTCTGCATTTGGCATTTGCATCTTCCTTTCATTATAAACAACAACATTCCTCCTATAACCATTTGGATTCCCCAACCAGCGAGTCACATTGCCCTTGACACCTAAACCAGATCAGGTACAGATATATTTTACAAACAGAAAGAAAAGAAGAAAAAAGAAAAAGAAAACTTGAGCTCGTTCGCTCCTAATCCCAGAGCCCTATCTCTCGCTCTCGCAACCAACGTACTATGGTAAAAAAGAAAAAAAGAGGGGGAAAGGAACGCCACCCGCCCCACAAGAAACACAACAGTCATCTGTCCTGGGTATTTTAAAGTCTCTCGTCTCAAAATCAAAAAATCAAAAACGTACGCGCTTTGTGTCTTTCTCCGTCCCGTGCCTGCGACCCATCCAGCCAGCCGGTACCATCATATCTCATCATGTAGACAAACGAAAAAAAAGGAACGGAAGAACACCTTCCATCCAATCCCAATAAAAGAGAGAAGAAAGACGACTACTCAGACACCACCAAAAGGCTCCTTTTTCCAACCGGCATTCTCCTTCTTTGAATAAGCCGTCAAGAACTCCAAGGCAAAATTCGTCACATCCGGAATCGTGGTCCATGGCCCGATCGTATCCGCAACTCCTAGCTCCACAAGTGTACCCTTCGTAGCATATGACCTCGCCCAAAGTTGATCTCGTTTCTGGTCATTGAGCCGGATGAGCTCCCATATCTTACTCTCCCTCGTGGTGTACTCCCTAGAATCCATAGCACAACGTCGCAGCTCCTCCCGACAGATAGCACCAAGGCGTGAACTGAGAGGTGCAAACGTTGGGACCCACTGTAGACTATATTTCTCCATGAAATCCCAAAGCTTGAGACAGGATTCCCATTGCGATGTTGTGGGTGGGCGATTCAAGGCGCGGGCATGTCGCACGTTATAGGCGAAGCTTTGCATGTATAAGACAAGAGCTTCGAAAGCGACGCACAATCCGAGTTTCCTTTGCTGCTCGGGAACTATCTCGCGTGCTTTGCTCTTGATTTTGAGAATGTCATCCATACGACGCTTCAGCTTGGTGGCGTGATCAAGGTATCGCTTCTCCTCCGCAAACAGCCTTTCTGCCTCCGGGCTGTTGTGTATAGGTCGGACATCACCATTGATACGAGGCTTCTCAGCACTTGCTGGTGTGCTAGCTGGTGCTGCCTGGGGAGTACGCGCATGACCATCGCCCGAGTCAACCCTACGCATGGCCACCGTTTTGACAGCTTCAGTTCTCTTGGGCGTAGCGAGAAGGCTTTTGTCGCTGGGTGCACTGGGAGCCGGCGACTTGAATGCCGGTTTGAGTGGTGTGTTGTTCGGTTTCTGCGTTTCTATCTCTCTACGTTTTGGTGGTGGCTCAAGTGGTTGCGACCCCACCGACTCCACTGGACGTTTCCGAGCAGTAGGTGCTTGCTTTTGCAGTGATGCCAAAGGTACGTCTTCTTCCGAGTCTGAGGGATAGACTACTTGAGGTTTCTTGATCTCAGGCTTTGTCTCGGGCTTTCTGAATTCCGATCCCGGTTTAGGTTTTGACCTTAATATTTCTTCTATCCGTTTCCGTGAGGACATTCTGTATTCAAGTTTTACAACGTAACTTGGAGTTGAATCTGAGATCTGCTCAGTCCTTTCGCTCTCTTGGAACTTGCTTGACAAATCTGCAGGCTGTTTCCTCGGAGGGTGTCCAACTTTAGACTTCACTGTCTTACGGGCCACGCCAGGGGCGTCCGGTTGTCGTACCTTCTCATGCCGAGCTTCGACAGTATTGAGTGATGTCGTCCCTTTTTGTTGTATTCGGAGTAGCTCTTGCTCAACGACCGCGGGAAGGGTAGGTGAAAGAATGGGTGGAAGTATGAATGGCGGTGATGATGAATCCGGAGGTGTAGATAAAGGCGAAGATCCATTAGCCGAGCTTTTAACCACGATGGTATCTCGATTAGGGGCTTTAGATTTGGTTGAAGGCGTATTTGAAGAAGAGTTCCTGCCTGATTTGGGTTCTTTTACGTGTGAAGCAAAAGAAAACTGAGATATAGGTTCATTATCAAGATCAGCTGGCAATGGCGATAGGAGTGGTGGGAGGTTATTAGGCTTTTCCGAACGGGACTTCGAAGCCTGTTTTGTATCGATGGGTTTTGAATTTTGACGAGATTTTCTTGGTAGAGGAGATGCCTGAGCTGTTGGTCTTTGAGATTTGAGTGGCGATGGTCTTGTATCTGACCGAGGTTCTGGCTTTTTTGACGAATTATTGAGGGAATTTGACATAGATTTCATTGGCTCAATCTTCGTACGCTTTTCAGCTGGAACAGCTGCGGAGTCGGGAGGTCTCTTCTTGGCATCGGCTGGCTGTCTATCGCGTCGAGGAGATGGTGGACGAGGAGGTAAACCATGTTTGATCGGAGGTAAGGAGTGCTGATCAGTTTTTGGTAACTTTTGGGCATGAGGTTTGCTTTGCAGGGACTCGCGTGAGTCTACATGACCGTTGGTATTATGTAGAGGTCGTTCTCGTGCTTCTGCGCGAGATGAGAATATATCGCTTGTTCTAGGGAGCCTGCATTAGCAAGATGCGCGCAACAATTCATTACATGGACTAACCGATCTTCCCGAGCTCCCTTCTCCGTACGAGCTACACGTCCCACTGGATTTGCGCCATTCTGTTTCCCTCCGGCCAAACCACCTTCCATTGAAGACACACGAGACATGGGCGTACTGGCAGACAATCCAAGGTTTTTCGACTGACTAGGCTTCCGGTCCGCATCTGCGGCGAGGGGCTTCGGCGATGGCTTTACACCGGTTTCCTTCATGCTCTTGTAGTCTTTGATTGAATACTTGACGGAGGCTTTCTTTGTTTCCCTGAGGGCGTTTGGGGTCGGAGTATTACTGCGCGCATCTGCGCTTGTGGATGGGGGCCCCGCAAACTCATCCTCCCAGTTCCCTCTCGCAGTAGCAATGCCTCGATCGCCGTCTTGAATCAGAGTCATGTACTGCAGAGGCTTGACCTCCCACGAATGGAACGGTGTGTTTTTATTCTCGTGAGGGAACTCGTTTCGGTAAGGGTAGTCTGTGATGACTTCAAGTAGATAAGGAGTCTAATTTCTTTGTTAGAATGGGTGCCCCGACTTGCGCAACAAACAGCTTACATGTGGGAGGTGATGGTCTCTCAGATCGCGGATCTGTTCATTGAGTAGGCTCAGTGTAGTGGTATCCTTTGAAGTGCCTGCCTTGGCCTTCTTGATCTCCATCATGAACGTCGTGTTTGACCCAGAGCAGATTCCGAGGTTCTCGAGGGTAGCGGATGATATTTGTGATTAGGAGTTGCAGGAAGAAATTAATGCGACAATGTCTGCTGGTAATCTGCGCATTCACGGAAAGTGCTTCTCGTTATCGTTGTGTCGCGTCGATGGTCGAGTCGCGATTTCCGTGACGCCAGGTGAAGAGAGATCAAAAGGGATCTCCTTGAAAAACTCGCCGGTACTAAGGAATCGATCGTCGTCGAAGGTGCCAATTATCATCTCCAAATCAAGGGCTATTCATGTCGCAAGCGGCTGTCACGCCAACCCAAGCAACTTGTACACCTCCAGCCGACCTCATAGAAGCTTGCGCCGCGCAGCTCGAATTGGCGGTTCTGTGAGTCGCATCAATGGAGACCAGCCGTCGACGGTGAATGCGAACGCGTAGTAGACGGTGCCGGGAAAGGCACAGGATGAGGCGATCGCGGGGGGGCAAGGGGGCGGTTTGGATGGTGAGGCGGGAGTTCAAGATCTCGAGGTTACTCTCCAGGTTGTATGGCTGGGTTCTGGTTGCGTTGCTGTTGCATGGCATGGAATACAGTGGAGAAGCAAGCCAAGTACGGAGCACGCTATTCGCGTCGGCTCGGGAGCGGGAGTTTGGTGGAAGCGGGCGGCAGTCAGTTGAGGAGAGTACGGAGACGGAGTAGGTAATTCCACCTGCACCGAAGTCTCGTCTGAAGATAGGTAGAGCAAAGTTTGGAGGAGACCAGAAAAATCTCGAAAGGATGGGAAGATGCTTAACCTGATATTCTGAGATATTTTTATACAGCATCAAGAAGTACTTGAGCACCTTTGTCAATAGCAAGGTTCATATAATAGACATACAAAACCTAGGTAGGCATTGTCCGACGCCGCTTATGGTTTATATCTACACAAATCCACTCAATCTAGCGAGACGCTTCTACAGTTGGAGACACTAACAATAGCTACCTCGTACTTGTTGTTTGTTCGAAAACCACAATATCAAAAGCAAAAGATATAATATAAACAAATTATCATCAATTCTCCAAAAGGAAAATATAACATGTCTTTTGGTCCTATCTTTGGCAGCTTATTACTTGTATGGCGGCCACCCAACTAACTACAGACACTACTGTCACGAGTCACGTGCACACGTGACAAGTGAAGACCAGACGGCGTCATGACAAGCCGAGCACATATGGGCCTGGGAGCTTTATGTGTTCTGGGAAAACCAAAGGGAGTTTTCTTAAGTAAGCAGGAGCCGTTAATTGGTTGGATAATGGATGTATACCTTTACCAACGTGTTGGTCACGTGATGGTCGACTGGTCGACTCGTCGACCTGTCGACCTGGTCGACAGAGTTGGTTGTCGACCAACATCCCTTAGTAGTAATATTCTGAGAACGGAGGTTCTATATAAGACTGGCACGTCTGCCATTAGATAGGAGCTTCGTGCTCAACTTAGTTATCAATCTTATCATATTAGTTTGACATCTTTGATACAAGTAACGAGTTCACTTCCAAGTGAACAACCCGATAGTCTTCTTCTTATCATAGCATACCAACCAGCGAACACCCAGCCAAGTTTAGTTAGCCAGTTTGAGTATTCGTTACAACTACCTACCAGCGTTCGGCACTTGGAATACGATTCCAAGGATTCCAAGATTCCATTCCAAGGTGGAATATTCCAAAGGCTCTCTGATTTGGAATGGAATATTCTAAAGGATAAGGCCTTGGAATTTGGAATTCCAAAGGATATATATATCACTATTCAACCAATAAGAGAGCTCTATTTGTTATAAAGTGAGGACTGAAATTGTGATTTTTACCTACGCCTTATTAATTATCGTCGTCTCCTATACATGACTAAGGTGAATCCAAGTGGTTTTATAGTGTTTGTACTACCTGTGCCGCCAGTCCAGGAGGCGAAAATGCGTGTGTTAGAGGCTCTTTTGCGCAGGGTGAATGTGAGTGGGTTTAGAGTACCTAACTGTCAAGAATCACGTGTGAGCACGTGACGAGTGAAGACCAGGCGGCGCCCTGACAGGTTAAGCACTATCATATCTCTTATAGCAAATAGGGATGCTTAGGCTAGCTAAGCGATCCAGGGATTTCTTAGTATAGGAAGAGTCACGTGATCATGATCGCCTGTATCGCCCAAGTCGCGAGCGACGAAAGCGATGTACGCGATCTAGCAGAGAACGAAGGTCCTCTATATAAGACTGGCACGTCTGCCATTAGATAGGAGTTTCGTGCTCAACTTAGTTATCAATCTTATCATATTAGTTTGACATCTTTGATACAAGTAACGAGTTCACTTCCAAGTGAACAACCCGATAGTCTTCTTCTTATCATAGCATACCAACCAGCGAACACCCAGCCAAGTTTAGTTAGCCAGTTTGAGTATTCGTTACACTAACAGTCTAGAAGTACGTGTGCCGCCACTATAGGAGGCGTAAATGCGATTACCGGTATTTGAGGCTCTTTTGCGCTATTATTGTTGTAGTGTTGATGGTGTAGATACGATTCTCAAATACTAATGTGGTGCTAAGTATAAGGGTAAGGCTAGGCTTACTATTGGTTTCTCGGATCGGAACTAATTTTTTGCGGATCACGTGATGATACCAACTGGAATTCCAAATATTCCACCCTTTGGAATGGAATATTACATAGGGGGGTCTTGGAATGGAATGGAATTACAAATGCCGAACGCTGCTACCTACAACAACAAGAGGCAACGAAGCACTGTTTAAGACATAATTATTCCAATTCTCTAAAATAAACAATTGAGACTGTTGTATAAAATTCTAGGGGAATATGAAATTCTAGGAGAATTAAAGTTGATAACGTAAAAAATCTAGGTTCATAAACTCGGCTAATTCAGATATTTAGTGAAAACAAAAATCCTTCCGTTTCTATTTGCTGCCGCTTTCCATATCCACGGTGTTTCAATATTCAAAAGGTGGGGGATGGCTGTGGGTGGACGAGTGGGTTGGTGGAGCTGATGATTACCTCCCATAGCTACCTATAAAATGCAGGCAGGCGTTCGTTCATGGGTGTTGAACCACTCTGGAAGCTGCCCAGGCGGAGGTTCCAATCGGCGCCAAGCCCGACCTTCGGAATAACGGTAATTGCGCCTTTAGTCACGCTAACCAAAAATCAATCGCTTCTCAAGTCAGACAGGACAGCTTTGTGCAACTACTCGTACCCGCGCAAAACAGCGCTCTCCTTCACACTTCTCCTGGCGCATCACCAGTAAGGTGGCCTTCGAAATCCGCATCGTAATCGAATCACCACGTAGTATACCACGGCTGTACGCCCACCGCAGTCAAGATGGCGCCAAAAATGACCAAGAATCAGATGAGGCGCGCGAAGAAGAAGGAGCAGAAGAAGGCACAGGTGAGCTTTCACTTTCCACCATCGTATCAAGTGTCCTAACCGCGTCGCAGGTGGATCCAGCACCAGAACCAGAGGTAAAGCCAGAGCCAGCACCCGAGGAAAGCTCAACCGCAGTAGCGGAGCCAACCAAGGAAGAGCTAGCTGAGGTCGAAATTAGTGAAGATGATCCCAATTACGCCATGTACAAGGAGATCTTAGAAAGATTCGGCGCAAATGATGCAGAGAACGAGGAAGCCGACGCGCCGAAGAATACAGATAAGGGAGAGGTCATTTGGGCCGACGATGACGAGATACCCGACGAGGACGATGAAGGAGAGAAGGAGCAAAAACTTTCAAAGAAAAAGAGAAAGGAGCGGGATAAGTTATCAGTGGCAGAGCTGAAGGCTCTTGTGCAGAAACCTGAACTGGTTGATTGGACAGATACTTCGGCCTCGGATCCACGATTGCTCGTACATATCAAGTCCTACCGAAATGTCGTCCCAGTTCCGAATCATTGGTCCTTGAAGCGCGAATACCTTTCCTCGAAGCGTGGAGTAGAGAAGCCACCTTTCGCACTCCCGAAATTCATTCAAGAGACTGGAATCGCAGAAATGCGTGACGCTGTCTTGGAGAAACAGGATCAAGCAAGTTTGAAGCAAAAACAGCGGGAAAGAGTCCAGCCTAAAATGGGAAAATTGGATATCGACTACCAGAAGTTATATGAAGCTTTCTTCAGGTTTCAAACAAAACCAGAGCTAACACGTTTCGGCGAGGTATACTATGAGGGCAAAGAATATGAGACAAATTTGAAGCATCTGCGACCTGGCGAGCTCAGCGATGAGTTGAAGGAAGCCCTCAACATCCCACCTGGAGCACCACCTCCATGGTTGATCAACCAACAAAGATTTGGTCCTCCGCCTTCGTATCCCTCACTAAAAGTTCCTGGATTAAATGCGCCCCCACCTCCCGGTGGCGCTTGGGGTTTCCATCCTGGTGGTTATGGAAAACCCCCAGTGGACGAGTTCAATCGACCCCTCTTTGGTGGAGATATTTTTGGTGTTCTTCAACCTCAAGTTAACAATCAATTAGGTGAGCCTGTTGAACGGACTTTATGGGGCGAACTTCAGGCACCAGAAGATGAATCGGAAGAGGAAGATAGCGACGAGGACGAGGAAGAGGACGATGAGGAGGAAGACGTCGGCACAGGTTTACAAACACCAAGCGGACTTGAGACGCCTGGTGGATTGAACTCGACAGTTCCGTCTGAGTACCCAGGCGATATGAGTGTTGGTGGCGATTTCGACCTCCGGAAACAGAAGCGAGGTACCGAGACAGAAGAGTCAACTCATCCCAGATCAGCATATACTGTCATTCCCGAACGCCAAATCCGCGCCGAGGGTTTCTTTGGTGGCGAGCGAGCATATGATGTGCGCGGAGCTGCACAGAATGCACATCTACCAGTCCTGGGGCAGGATGATGAAAATCGGAAGCGCAAGAAGCCTGGAGATGTGGATGTAGCGCTGGACCCAGACTCCTTACAGAACGAGGACGGCATTAGCAAGGAAGAAGTGCGACGAAGATTCGAAGCTCAGAAGAAAGAGGAGAAGGGCACTTGGGCATTTGAAGAAGACTTAAGTGATATGATTGCCCAGGAAAGCCGCAAACGACAGAAGCGGGATGAAGAGAAGCGAGGGGAGAAGAAGGAGAGGAGTTATCGATTCTAAGATTAGAATTAATTAGTGGAGGGAGAAAATAAGCGCATGCCGCATGGCGTTCATGAAGGGGCCATCCTCAAGTTGTATTTTTGATTGATTGTATATTATTCATCTTCCCACGTTAATGAAGGAAGATCTTTGCCACAAATTCCGACAGTTTTTCGTCAGTGTAATCTTGGCGATAAGGTGCTCAAAGTCTACCCAAGGATAATTCGTTCGTCTTCGATTACAATCTCAAATTAGATTTACTTTACGTACCTAAATGTAGAGCAACAATCGAACTTCTGACCAATAAAGACTGGATTGCGAGAGTCCAAATTTTATTAACAGTTTCCACCATCAGTGATTCTAAATCGGGGCCAAGGAATATATGTCTTCGTAATCTATCGACATACACGTTTGTGGCCTCATACTTGTCATTTTACTTTATTGTATTATTCTGCATACTCAGTAAAAGTACATCTTCGTGCTCGCGAGCAACGCAATAGCAGACCTTTTAGTACACAGTATGAAGTCCATGTTTCTTTCCGTTCCCAGTTACAGTTCCAATTTGTTCCCTCCGCCATGATCCGTGAAAATGGTCCCGTTCCGTTGTGTACCCATTCCGCTGTACAGCCATCTTGTATAGCCATACAAGCCTCATAATTCATCCATCACATACAGACTCCATCTTGATCAGACCCCGCCACCCGATCGACTCCTTATAAGCCACATTTTCTCAACGCCAGAGAAGAAAAGCACCCTCGAGCAAGGAAAAAAAAAGTAGTAAGACACGATGCGGTAGAAACCGAAGCGAAAAGCAGGATATCCATCAAGCAAAAAGTCGAAACTCACAACTCACAACCCGCAACCACAATAGACCTCCCACATAACAAAAGGGAAAGATCACACTCAGGGTCGCCATTGAGTTGGCTCAACAACGCGCCATTGGCTCTATCCGAAATTGGTAGCAAGCCTCTTCCCAGGTCACCCTCAGCAGGATGTAGAGCATATTGGGATGCATCCATCGAATCACCGTCAAAAATAACCATATTCTGAATTGGCGTGGTCTCCCTTACCAAGCATAAGCTTCCTCGTCAGGGTCTTCTCCATTCCAATCATCATCCCCTGAAGCCTCTTCATCCAAGAAATCCGCTTCAGTAACTTGTCTCTCAGTAGGTCTCAAATTATCAATTCTGACTTCCACAACCTCGCACTTGCCCTGAATAACTTGCGCAGGTTTAGCTTCGGCCTTGGCTTTAGCTTTGCCAGCAAATCTCTTGATGAGTGGTTCGTCATCGCTATCATCCGAAATGACAATCGCATTGGCTGGAGAGGATGGAACATCGGGAGGACTATCCATACCCGCTGTTTGCTTGAGGATATTCAGCTCCCGCGCGAGACCGGTTAGCCGAGTGGATTGTGAGCGAATGAGAGGTTCATCATCCGAGTCTTCTGCTCGTCGACGAATGAGGGGCATATCATCGGAGTTTTCAGCTTCTGAGGTGTCTGGACTCTCGACATAAACATTTGGTTTAGGCTGACGAGCACTTGAGCGCTGAGAGCGTCTAGTGGAAGGTTCTACTGATGAGAAAGATGAACTCTCGCTGCTCGATACCGAAGACGCGGACGATAGAGCCTTAGAAAGCAGTTTAGACTCCACTGTTGGGATAACAAGTTGGGGTCTCGAGTCGCGTCTCTTCAAGTCCGGTGTCGGTTCAGGAATGCGGAGTGTTGCGTGCACCCGAGGCGGAACAACGACTTGTTTAAAAACTTCGTTGAGTGAACCGACCCATTTATCTCGGAAGGAAGCACGATCCCTCCAGCCGATGTTCAAGATTGCTTGAATGGTCAATCTCCGAAGGTTGGGAAGAGTTGCGGCGCTGTCAAGAAGACTCTGGAAGAACATCTCCGCAGCTTCCGTATCCCATTTACGCAACTGTATCAGCTCTATCGTACGTAGAGTTGATGGCCATACTGGGAGTTGTTCTGGACAAAGCAGTTTTTCATAAGCAGGCTCCGAATCATGGTAGGCGAAGTGCTGATTGAAATAGGTAAGATTCATCTTAAATACCTCAAGATCTGGACAGGCAGTTTCAAGGACAGTGAGAAAAGATAGACTCAAAGATTGATTGTGGTTCAACGTAAGTTCCCGGAGTTGGCTACCGTGAGTAAGCAGAAACTCTGCAAAGTCTTCAGCAATTATGTCCCAACAGTTGATTAGCTCGAGGCGTCGCAGGTTCTTTGGGAGTAGAGGCAGAAGTGTTGCGTTGACTAGTGCTGAAGATTCAAAGACCAAATGCTCAAGGCTTTTTAGAGGCTTCAATGAATCCGCGAGGATTTTCTCGTGCTCTGGTAGTTCCTCGTCCTTTTTGACTTTTGGAATCTGATAATTGACAAAAGCAATCTTTCGAAGGGCAGAAAATGACGGCTTCAAGTGTACCTCTTTCATTCTATGAACAGACCACGTCTTCCCCGCAAGTCTTGAAGACCACCGCCAGCTTTTGAGTTTACATACATCGGCCTTGTCACCTACAGCTGTGTGCGTGGGGTCGATATGTTCCAGTGCGTCGAAAATATTCTCCGGGTATGTCCATTTTACGGTTTCATCAAGCTGTCGATACGGAGGCATATCTTTTTGGTGATAGAGTTCCAAGTTCTCCAAAAGAGGTAGATCTTTGACGAGGTCATACAGGTCCAAATGTCCGCTTCCCGGAAGGGAATAGGCAAGGACCTGATGAACATCGATACAAAGCGATCTGATCTTTCGTCGATATCTAAAAGCTTTCGTTGCCGAGTCCTCATTTACCAAATCAACCAATCTGTGTGCATAAACCATGGGAACAAGTGGTGGCGAGTAATATAGAGCTGTAAGAGCCGGTTCAGCAAATGCGCGGCAGAGTCGAGACATATCTAGAAGCCATTTTGGGGATGCGGTCGGGGCAAAGGTATGTTCATCGTATAGAGGGAAGGAAGCGAATTCGAATATCTGGAGGAGGATCTGATAAGGAAGCGTTTGCCATGGTGGAATAACCCCAGAAAAGAAGACTTGCGCTGGAACCGACGATTCTCTCGACTTCGATCTCAACGCTGGTTTTGTGACTCGCAAGCTGTGACGCATTTGATTTCTTGATGGCTTTGCCTTCTTGGCGGATCTGGTGGCTCTTGAAGGGCCATTTCTAGAGGTCTTTTGTCTTTTTAGAACGGGTCGTCGCTGGAGATCGTCTTCTGAAGTGTCGTCGTCCTCATCCTCGTCGTCCTCATCCTCGTCATCGAGCGTTTGTCTTGCCGAACGCTTCAACGGCGAAGTGCGTTTGCTTCGGGGTGAGGTTCGACGAGGTGATTCGACAACGGAAGAGTCGCTATCATCGCCGGATTCATTATCGTCATCATCGGTAGTGCTTGTTTCGACATAAGAGATGGCCGGTTTGGGTCGGGTTCGAGGGGCAGCTCCTCGGTGGGCTCTGCGGGGGGCCATTGTCGCAGCAGATCGGGAGGCAGCGCAAAGCTTTTATGCCATGGCCATGGGCTTTGTGTTGCAGTGTATCGGTTCTTTAGTGGCGAGATGTTTGCTGGCAGGAAGGGCGATGAATATCGAATCTTGAGTCGCAATCCGAAGATGAATGTTTTCAGACACACAGGACGTGGGCTGGTCTGGTCAAGTGGCAACGCTTCAGCCTTACGAGTAGATGCCGCTGCCACCTCGCGCCTCGAGTAAACTGATTTGCTTATCGGGGGAGTCGGGTCATCGCCGACGCCAAGGCCGATAACGATCTCAGCCTCGCCTGCAGCCTTGGTCAATGTTACGCAGTACTCTCAGTCTGGGGACGTCGTAAACAAGCACATCAACCCCATCTATCCCAACACTGCCGCGGCGCTATTGACTCAACCATAATACACCATTAATTCTTCTTAGTTAGTGGGGCGTAAAGGTCAATTCATGGTGAGTGTTGCGGGTCGCACGCTTGCACTTAGCGGTGCATTACACTATACTACATAATACACTACGGACGCGCTCAACTCAAGTTGTCTCTTTCTCTTTGCAGTGCAAGGTGCACCAAACTATCAACAATTCCACTCTAATACCATCAATTGCAGGTGTATTCACAACCAAACATCAACTGCTCTGCTCCTGTGTGCCTACACATACAGCTACACCAATTCAACCAATTCACCTCTGCTGAGCGACTTCCTCTTTTGAAAATGAGTGACTTCTATGAACATGGAATTACCTACCTACAAGGCAGTCTCAAATGAGAAAAACCCTAATTCCAAACCGCCGCCATTTCTGTTCAGGAGTCAGAGGAGCTTCCAATTGAACAGCGGAGCTCAACTATCGGCTAAGCAGATGCTTCCAAATGCCTTGCCGCCGTCAAGCAAGAAAACTAAAGTAAGAGCATCAGACGAAGAGGAAGACGAAAATGAAGAGCTGAGGCCGCCAAAGCGCAGGAGATGTGACATAATCTCTCCCAACAACAGAGAGGATGACGATCCACAGCCCACCAAGAAGCACAAAAGAAATACTCAACTCCCTCACTCTTTTAATCAAGTGTCTAATGAATTACTGCCAAGACATCTCAACAAGTTTGGAAGGGGTCTACGGATAGATTTTCTTGGAATCAGGGCTTCAAGTCTGAATCATGCTGAACGCTTGCTTCCTCACCTACAAAATGGAAATTTCGATGTCAACTGTTCGGTGTCAGTAAGCTACAGGACATCTGATAAGTCCTGGCGGGAAGTGTCTCACCATCGCAAGCAATTCATACTACAAGTACGACTTCACGATCAAGTCATTGAGAGAAGATTTGTATACCCTAAAGACGGGGGCTTCCTTTTCTTGCCAAAAGACCTATATGTCAATAGGATCTTGCGTGGTGCCCCAAAAAATGACGGTTCAGGTGTTGTAGAGCAAGTGTTTGATCTTGCTGATGAATACCGTGCGTGTGTTACGATTGAGCCTGTTGGCTTTTACAAGCTTTGGCCACTATTAGACATTGACTTGCAAGAGGGACCAGGCATGGCAGTATCTAGAGCCCTTAGTCGAGGAGAAGCAGAGAAAAGTGAGCTTAGCCTATCTTGTACGACGCTGTTACACGATCCTACTCAACAAGAACGATCACATGCTCTCCAAGTGTGCTACGGGAACTACCAACAGTCGGTGGATTATGAGTTAGAGTTGAGAGTCCGCTGGTCACTCCCACCCGCCTCTACGGAATCCAAAATTCTAGAATCACAGTATCTCCGCCACCAATCACTGTCTCGCCTCTCTACAGCTTCGCCGACAACGCAAACTAGAGAAGAGAGTGTTTTGTCAGACGGTACGGCCAACCGATCGCAAAGACAACGTCCTAGTCGCTACGCGACTTACAACCTGAAATCTCTTACCTATGCGCATAGAAAAAGCAGGGATCCACAATCCCAAGATAGAGAGCGACGCCGTGATAAACAAACAAAGTCGCCGAGCCCAGATGGCGGTAGGAAGAAGGAGACAGTGACCTACAGCTTTGGAAGAGGTGATGCTACTATTCTTGGTATTGAAGAGCAAACCGTCTTCGCGGGTTTAATTTGCCCGTTTTGTTACTGCTTATATCGATCGCTGGATCATTTGAGAATGCATCTGCGGGATGAACACGAAGCTTTCCAATTCTCCCTCTTACAGCCTCTACCTAAGGTTCTGTTTTCTGCGAGAGTTGCTATAGATCGGCTAGCTTTAGATGACGACAAACGCAGAAGCGTTCAAATTGGTTGGCCAAGGACCCCTTTTGCCCTTGACCACTATCTAAAGGGAGACGGCTCCTGGATTGAGCGTCGCTTAGGGCCACAACACAATTTCATATCTCAAGGAGAAGGAGGAAAAGTTTCATTGCCTCATTCTTGTTCTTCCCCTCGAGAATCTACGTCAGCAATTTCGGAGGACACGCTTCCTAGAATCATACCAACTCGCAGAAATTTGACCGTCCCAGAAACCCCACGACCTGTTTTCAACGCAATCACTAAAGCTCCTCTTCTGCCAGGCGAAGACATTCCAAGCAGTGATGAAGATGACACTTGGTTCGAGCAAAGACACCGGGACGTGATAAACGACTTCACGGATCTCACTATAGATAAGAAAGCATATATCAATCGCTGGAATCCCTTTATCACGAGGAAAAGCGATACGACCCCTCTAACGATCCCAGCATATCTCGCTCAGGCTATGGATGCTTTTGTGGAGCTTGACAAGATGTGGCTGAATGAGAAGTTGACAAGAAGAAGAGAGTTTACCATGCATTGTCAAGCACTTGTGATGCGTGGTGTTGTGAGCGATCAACAGTATAAGCAGTACATGGATGTCTTGAGGTCAGAAGCTGCAAAAGTAGTGGATACGACTGTAGGGGGAGCCTCCGAAAAATCTCGAGGTAAAAATGACTGTATCTGCCTCAAGCCAATTGTTATTACTCACAATGTGGTATGCATCGGCAAGGCGTGCAATGTGAGTCTTTCTGTATTTCAAAAGTAGAAGAAAATTTGGACAGCGTATTAACTCCTATCCTAGTATCGATTTTACCACCGGGAATGTGCAAAGAAATCTGGACGGCCCATCAGAAGCAAGTGGCTTTGCAACGAGTGCTTTTCTGTGGAATTGGTTGCATAGCGTATATCATGAAGGTGTTCTGAATTAGCGTGGCGTTGAAGGGTAAATTTTCGGGATTTGCATGTGTGTACTATACTTGCATCGGATGTGTTTATAAGAGGGTTTGGCGGGCTCTTGTATCTGATCTGATTCTCTTACATACTGGAAGATAAGTGGTGAGCGGGGTTACATAGTAATGTTCGATGACGCTCTGTGTATTCAGTGGGCGTCCAGGAGCTACAGTAGTACAACAAAAACGAATGTACAAAGATAATTCCAGGAGATCTGATTGTTTCGCTGCGTAAGACTACACTTTGAGCAAATATTATACCAAAAGTCCTGGCGCAGGTAACGACTTCCTGGAGATTAAGCTAATAAAAGTTAGAAACCTCAGGTGCCCCCAAAAGCTCGCTTAAGTAATCTGCTATGATTGTATAAAGTTTTTAGAACAATTTCATCACAGGGTATTTACCAGATTCTTGGATAATATCTACCTAAGTTACCTTTTGTAAATAAACACGCGATCGAGTTGGATCCGATGAGAATTAGTCGCCTACCATCTGATCGCGGGTTGTTCCCAATATTTACGCCCTTCACTCACTACACTCCTGATATGAATAAAGTGCCTGAGATAACTGAAGCATGTCCATCGGCTGTGAAAACCCGTATGAGCAATTTCATCTCTGCCAGATTGTCATATTTCATTGGCGGTTACCGCTCGGAAGAAGTAAATTATAGACATACTGCCCCTGCGCGAAGACCTCTTTGTGCCTTGGTAGCCTACTTCTAATACTTGTATGGATATTATAAGTGTGTCTTAGAATTTTCAGGCAGTAAAGAACATGTTGCCACCAGAATAATATTGTAAATCCTGTGTCGTGGTACCTTGTCTGGGACAGGAAATATCATAGATTCTCTACTGTAACGTAGCAATTGACACCGCGCATGAAAATTGAGAGCTATGTCCTGAGCACAAATTCCACGTGTCTTGATCAACGCTTCCTTGGCCCAAAAAAGAGGATGTCGTTTTGGTACCTTGCCAAAACAACCTTGTTGCCATGCAGCTTACTCTGCGTTGAAGATTTCACCTAATGGATATACAAGTTTCGAATTTGATCATCGTTCTTTGAGCGTCTTGCTTATACACAGGTTCTCGGATCTCATTGGTTGTTGATACGAAGTCTCCTCATTTCTTCACATATGTTTGTCTGGTTGCAGATTTCTCCAACTACAGTCTCAGATTGGCTGGAGAGGAAAAATTGTCTCTGGAGGCACCTTACTTAGAAACGCACCATGAACGTTCATCGGGATCTAGGCTCCACAGGGAGAAGGACTTTGAATCTGATCGGCACTCATTATTATCCACTCCAAGATTGACGTAGGATTACGCCGCGTGCGAGTCGATCGTCGAAGTGAAACTGGCAGTAAGTGGCCGCGATAGCCGTTCTTGAGATTTGGAAGTGGCTAAGTGATGACTCTGGATCCATCCTCAATATGAAATGGCTGATATACGTGACTGGGTCTAAATCGTTGCACAAAGCCAAGATATACTCTGCCTGCTAGTTTTATTTCCTGGCCATGGTGGCAAAAATGATGCAAAACATTGTTGAAGGAGTGAAATCTGCTTACACGGACAACTCTTGATCGACAGAAACACTGCAAAGACCATTTTGGGCACGTCAACCCACCCTGTTTCAGCTCTTTGGCTATCACTCCTCAAGCCACAAAACGGAACAAGGCATACAGGTTCTAGAAATAGCATCATGGCGCGGTTTTGGTGGGATCTATCCCAAACCAAGTAATAGATACACGTAGAAATTCATCAGAAGATGGCGAAATTTGATGATGAATATGAAGTATGGAGTGTGATTCGCGGACATCAGTATATCCTACTTGCACGATTTGGAGGGCATAGCCCGATGGCTGGCTTTTTGGGATTGGCTAATAGAGTTTCTACATGGCATGAGCGCCAAACCAATGGATTCTTAGAGCTGGTCAGGCATTCATGTTGGACGTAGGGGGAATTGCTAGGATGGTTGTGTTGTTACTGCAGAGGACGACCTCGATCTTTTTCAGTCATTCTCAATATATTCTACCCAGTCAATACCTTCTGTGCGATCAACAGTTCTAGCCACGGTGAAGTTATATCTGTAACCTCCAAAGCATTCCCTGGCATCCATCCAAAATCACGGATATGGCAACCTGTTCTGGTGCACAAAATGAGACGCTGTCCTGAGATGGGAAAAATAGCGACAATTCTTGGAAGAGCCTGTCAACGACTCAACCTATAAGGAGCTTGATATAAGCCTCAGGCTCCATCCATTTTTGAAACTGATGTTAATATTTAACGGACAGCTAAGGAAATCATTCGTATTCTTGAACCTTTTTTTGTCGTAAACCTGTAGGCGTATTCGAATCGAGTAAAATTAGCTTACCGGACGAGGAAGAAAGAGGATTCGCTATTGTATGGCAGAGACTCGCAAACTACTCTTTCTTTGCTTCCTGTTATGACGCTAAAACTTTAGTGGTCAATATTGATAGTGATCCTTCCGGCCCGGCTCAGCTCTCCCCTAGCGAGAAAAACATCTGGTATTATACTAGTAGAATCAGGCATCTTTATTCCAATCCTCCACGCATCACGTGATAAAGACTTCGTGTTTGTAGAAAGGTTGTGAAACTCTTATTGAAAGCAGATAAGATGCATACTATAGGATGGCTTGCAGCCTTACACAGCCCTTTTTGCTCAAGACTACGCCTGTGCTTCCGCTTTCATTGGTGGAAAATCATGTGCAAAAGTTAACATAGCCACAAATTAAACGACGACAACACATCGCGCAATACTTACGGCAGTTGAGGCACATCTTCAATCCCTTCTGGTACATAGGTGGACCCAAATACACGGTACCGGTGACCGATCTAACTACCCATCCCGCAGGATGGAATTGAACCGTGCTTGTCCTTGAACACCCTGGCAGCATCAGCGAGGCGCAGACGGTAGCTACAGAAGAAATATCAACTGAGGATATTCCACACCCTTTCAATGAGACGATAGAAGGATCTTGCCGCATACGCTGTGGAGTAAGCTTTATCATTGTCCAAGCTTCATTTCCCCGCGATTTTTTACCCTGGGTGAGATGCCTTCGCTTCTCTTGTCCTGCCTCCACAGCCCCTATTGATTTCTCGCTAATCGGAACTTAGGCTGGCGAATAGAAAAAAAGGCTACTTGAGCGCCCAAGTACTCCCAGTCACCAGAGAAAGCGAGGTCCTAAGGATTCTACGACGCCGAAGCCACCCCCGCTATTAATCAATGGGAGTTATGAATGGTGGGGATTGCGTCGGACCGTGCAATTTGTTTTGAGGCTTGGACCATTGCAAATTTGAATTGTATGCGACGGATACTCAATGAGTGATGGGATACTTCTGCGGGATGAAGAACGAAATCAGAATAGAGATATGTGACAGTCCTGCAGGAGCTTTGGGCGAAGTCAGGAGTCTAGGCAAGTTCTCACGACCCTCACACTGCTTCAAAACATCGCATTTCGTTTACCGCGCCGCCGGATACGTGAAGTGGCATCATATAGCATTCCAACGACCAGGAATATTGATCGAACAAGTTCTGAAGAACTCGCTGCCCATTCTTAATCTTTGGTTTAGACTCACTGCCACCCCGCACGTCATCACCAACACTTCCAATTCTTTTCCAATCACGATAATCTCCACGTGGCCCTGCGTCGATCGTGGTAATGATCCTAGTGATCCCTCTTCCATGTCCTAAATTTCCTAGACACCCAAGATCGTATGCTATTCAATTACCCATATTCTACTATAGAAGGCACGGAGCAAATCAGTATTCCATCATTCCGTATTCCGTATTCCGTATTCCTGTATCTTTGCTTCTGGTATACCAGCTTGAGCCATGCCTCTACCAAAAGGAACAATTAATACCACCCACCACTCACGACTCGCACCCTAATGAATCTGTGTATTCGTATCATCGTATATTTTAGAAGAATCTGCCTAGCGCTTGGGGCGCTGGATTTTCCGATTTTCTCATTATTGCGAAATAATTACCCCGTTCTTGGATTTTCTTACTATATACTTACTGCAACTCTAACCTCGCTACTACTCTAACCCACTATCACGAACCCCCAATATGCAGCTGGCAGGGCCGTAAGCACTGCAACCCAAAAGCTTGCACTCGTTTAACTCCAAATCCCTACCAATCCCGACCAGCCTTAACGAGGAAATGTTTCGGGAGGGGCTTTCCGTCTCAACTTCCAACCCACGTTGAACAATGTGCGTCGCTCGTGAAGCGATTATCCAATACCTTCTTCAGACGATTGATGCCAGGCCAGGTTTGTCATCTCCCGCGCCCGGCAGCTGCATGACACCCATTGAGATAACACGACATATCTAGCGTGTCTAGGTCACATCGCAGCTAAATCACTGCAACACCACACCCACCACTCATAGCAGTAGAAGAGAGTAATTGCCAGGGCCCGCTTCGTCACATGTGCTATCTACCTACCTACTTCGATACCGGTAACTTAACAAGAATATGCACGTCAACTAAAGTGTGCGTAAGAGATGGTGTGCATACAAAACATTTCCCGCCACATATTCTTCTGTAGTCATCGTAGTTCAGAAATAGACTGCAGAAGCGTAAAGGCAGGCGGCATGTTGACAAACATTTGATCTAGCGTTACTTATATTACTAACAATGAGAGCAAAATAGGAGAGCTAGATAACTAATAGAAGGAGAAAGAAATCTATGATAGTTGTAACAATAACAAAAGACTAGTTCATACTCTCGCAAATTCCCTCATCCAATGATTCCAGATGGACTGTTGCCTAGGTACTTTGTCCATCGTACAGTACAGCCCCCCATCCCCAAGTCAACCCACCAACCACCAAGATCAATCACGCTCACACCAACTCCTATTAATCCTACAGACCACCCCTAATCCCCCACACACAGCCTTTAATCATCCTTCGATCCCCTAGCCCAAATGGGGAGATTTATACGCGCAGGTCAAAAGAAAGACATAGGGAAAGGCGTAGAGAAAATGGTAATAATAACACAAACAAAATCTGCCAGTTCCAACGGACCAATCGTTGCATTTTCGGCGTTCTTGTATTCAGATCTCAATCTCAGTCACCTCGCTTCCTCCAACTCATTCGTTTAAATGCGCTTGGACTCTATCGCAGTTCCATCCGTCTGGTGAAAAATTCAAAAAGTTCCAGAATTTATCGTGCGAATTCCTACAGCGTTTTCACCCTTCTTTTTCAGTTGCAGCCCTGCAGGCACGTCATCTACCGGTCTACTTTGGGCATCTCCGTCATTATTTCAGCTGTACTCGTACAGTATGTACTGCAACCCCTCAATAGGGCTGAGTAGGGCCGATCCAATCCGATGCAAGAAGAAACTCGACGTATCGGCTGATGTAAGCGCAAAATATCCACTCGTATTTCAGGGCCAGTTGGTGTAGGTGTACGTTGAAAGGAGATATTCGGTCTCTTTTTTTTCTTTTCTTTTTTTCTGACGAGGTTCGTGTTCTTGGCTATTGGTAGTTGTGGTGTAGCTGATGCATGGACACGTGTGCAATGGAAAAGAGATGTGAAGGGTGAGAAGCTCAAATGGAATTCAGGAAGGTTTCTTGTTGTAGTTGAATCGGCCATATATTTTTTGTGTTTGTGTATGTTCTTTGGAAGATGTGAGTACTTTGAAAAATTGTGCCATTAACTATGAAAATCTTCGCTTAGCAATTTACTCGCTTGAACTCGGGAGATGTGAAGAGGTACTGTACACTTACAGAAAAGTAAAGTGTACCACAAGTTCGCATTTTAAGCCGATGTTTTATTTCGACTTTGTGGGTTGCGTTGTCACTAGGCAAGTGAACTGTGAAAATATAGTACTGGATAATGTGTCAGTCAAGCGATATTTAGTGTACCACCCTGGAGTCAAAAATGATGAACTTACCAGAAATACATGCTGGATAAGAATGAATCCTATTACAAAACGCCATATTCCATTTCGATTGCTTTTTCTTCGTGATTCATTACAGAGTATCTCATTGGATGAGGCAAATCTTCCGCTTTCACCTGATCTGATACACAATACCCAGCAACCTCGAGGTATTAACAGAAAGTTCCCACTCCAATAAAGTCTTTAGTAAGAGCTATAGGAGCTTCTCGACTCTGAGTGACGGCTGTCCCAAGCAGTGTACTGTAACTTCATGTTAGCTGGGTCTTTGGGTTTGTAATCCATTCGTAGGAATAAGCAATAACGTACACTCTTTGATTCTTCAGCAGAAGAGCTGTGCGAAGAGTATGGGTGGGCACTCGCAGAAAGAGTATGCGGTGTAATGCTCCACGTGCTGGGTGTGGAGTGAGTAGCGGTGGTATAAGTTTGTGGAGCAGTTGAAACTCTGTAAGGAAGTGGACTGGGATGATTGCTTTCATAAATAAAGTCGCTGTACCCAGGGCTATAGTCATCGTTGCTGTATTCAGAATGAAGTGGGCTCGCCACTATGACAAAGTTAGAAGCTGCGTTGGGAAGAGGATAGGCTAAACGAGTGACAAATTATGAAACCTACTTATGGATCCGTTGCTTTCTTCGTAGGGAAGTGACGAAGGGGGCACAAGTGTTGATGGGCTACACTGTATCGTGACACTGTGATTGAGAGAGCCGCGCTGACTCCTCCCGCCAGTATTTCCTGCCCTGCAACGGCATGTCTTTTGAAGAGTTTCGACTTGTGCTTCTAGCTCTTGAATTCGTCGAGTGGCGTATTCCTTGGTCTGTTCGAGCTCCTGTAGTCGTCGCTGGATCTTGATCTTTTCTTCTCTTTTGGTAGCACGGTCCCTTTCTCGCTTTCTTTGTCGTTGTTCTTCAGTAAGGATTCTTGGTCCATTTGCTCCATTCCATGCCCCTGGCGTTCGTGATGGAGACATTTTCTCAATAGTTTACTTTGTTGATTGATAAAGCCAGGGATAGATGTTGTTGAGTGAGTAGTGAGGTTGGATCGTAGTTGATTAGTCGTTGTCAATTGTATAGATGGGAAGGCTGCCTTCTATCTCCTCCACTATATACTGTGATCAACGACATATGCATGCTTATAGGATCATCCTGTCCTTCCTCAATCTTCCACCAGAAAGCCTTGCCATTAAACAATGAGCAATGAGCCGCGCTCTCTCCACCTCCTATCGACAGGCAGGCGTCATCGGCGCATGGGCTGTTGCAGGGTCTTCATAAGCCACTCTAAGGCAGTCGAGCATGCTCTGCTTTGAAAATGTTACACGAAATGGAGAGTACTTGACTAGGTATGGGAGTAGACTGGACTCGGCAGACAAGGGTGATTGTTGACTTTTGAGCCAGCTGGCGCCATCCTCGTTCGTTTGTCCGTCCTTAAATCGAACCGCAGCTCATCCGTCGTACCCATCCCTGCGAATTCCTTTTGGGGTCCATCGTGCCATGATGTTGAAAGTGCCTGTATGGCACTCATACTTCGCTGCTTCATGAAGCGACATGCATGGACCACCGGGGCAACACCCCCCTTTTCCGGCCTTTGCGTTTGCAGCACATCCCATCGTTGCGCGCACCATTCGTCTATTGCCAGTCTGGTTTAAGGCTCCGCATCTACGCCGCACGCTTAATTGAAGAGGCATATACTACCTAAACCTGGAGCCACCAGCCTAATCCGTCACCGATCCCAAAAACTACCGGAGAATACTGCAATCACGGGCTGGATTACGAATCCGTTTGACCCTTGCAAACGGTAAATTCTTTCATTCGATAGAATACAAGAACCTGCATCACTGTAGATACTCGAAGATTGGACTATATACAATCCACCATTTTAACACTGCCTCAAATTATACTTTACCGTCTCAGCCCACTCCTCCTGTAGGACTCCTGTTGGAATTGTGACTGACGTTATCTAAGGTTGGGTGCAATTCCTCGCCGTCGCTTGTCAGTCAACGCTACAGCCAAGCGAACAACAGAGTTTTCAAACAGGTCGTGGCTGCGCGGTGACTTGGATTACGTACCCGTTGAACCGGTATAGACTCGTGCTATTTAGTGGCAGCGAAAGATAGCAATGGTTCGTTTTGGTGGTTCAGCTTATCTGGCAGTACTGTAGATGAAAAATCCAATCAAGCCCTGCCCCGTACCAGAACCCCGCGTTCGACTGTTCTACATTATGTGGGGGCATATAGAGCCAGCAAGCAACGACGCCACCGAATACCTTCACCCGGCTCGTGAGAACGTTGAAAGTGACATTACTGTAACAGAAAATGAGTTGTCGGAAACTACGGGATTAAAAAAACCTTAATTTCACATTGTATCAGAGCATAGTATATGATTAACACAACAAAGGGTAAATGGGGTATTAAAACATAATCCAGAGAAAACCCCTAGCCACGAAAATTATCCCTAATATTCCATCTTTGTTCAAATTTCGACTTGCACTGCAGGAAGGATTTTGGATTTAGTGTAAACAGATTTCTTGACAGACTTTCTGGTTTTCCCAGAACTGCCGTACCCTCCTTTTCTAAACTTGTACCCTCTAATATGAGAGTGATGAACCTGAAAAATGATAGAAGGATCGTGCATAGAATCATCTTTGCACACAGCTCGACACCCTTAAGTTTGAACCATTTTGTGCCTCTTCTGAGGATCTGATGCCGCAGTCAAGTCTGACGGTATCGAATCCGGCAGTCAACTCTCACGCACTCATCGAAAGAACATACCTGGATCCAAAAAGCCATCATGTTTTGATACAGAAGAAAGTGGAGCCGGGAAGAGCCAGTACCGTACTTACGAACCACGTGTACTGCAAGCAATGTATTCTGTAGCGTGGCCTTACGAGTGATAATATCAAGACGTGACGAGGAACCTGAAACGAGAGAGTATGAAGAGTGCCTCTAGCTGCACGTACCAGTGTATGGTCTTCTCTCTCTTTCGTGGGACAGTATCATTGGAATGGACACTCGGCCCGTTCCACAAAGTAGGTTAGTATCATTAGACGCTGCGTGCAGATGGCACGCTCGGGACTTACCCTCCTTTGGGAGTCATTGGGAGGGTGGGGTGACTTGTAAGAAAACCTTCTATTTTGATTCCTGACTCAGTATCCACGATACCGTTTTTGATAGTGAGTGAGGTGCTGATGCAGAAAATTGACAGCTTAATCCCGGCAGATGTGATAAGAGTTGTGAGGAATGACAGCACTGCGTGAGGCGAAGTGCAGAAAGGAATATAAACCAGTGATTACTGGCATACTCGTATTTTTCCACAAAGGGAAACACGGCGAGGATGGAAGACTTGGCATCAAATTAAAGTAAGCGTAAGTAGAAATGAAGTTCAAGTGAGTCTAATTCAACAGCCCTATGAGATTTAGAAGTCAGTGGTGTGTGCAGTTGCCGAAGAAGCGAGGAATCCCGAATATCACTTGGCCAAACGCACTATAAACGTGGGAGGAAGGGTGGAGTAGGGATTCTTGCATCACGAAAGACATAAAATTTCTTGGGAACAAATGCACCTCAATTGAAATTCAACGTGCCACATGTCTACAGCACAATGCGGACTCGTCTCCTGTTATATTTACATTTCTCTTCTATCCCTCCTTGTACACCCATGAATAAACCCACCTCTCAGGAAACACCGTCCACCCACCATCCATATGAGAAACTGTGCCTCCATTGAAACGCCATCAAATGACCTCCAAAATATGCCCCCCCCCGCCTTCCCCTGATCTAAAAAGCCAGAGCTACAAGTGCAGCTAATGCGAGCAATCCTGCCAGGCTGCCTCCGATTCTGGCAACCTCATTGGCTTGAGCAGGTCCAGTCGGAGTAGGACCAGTAAGAGACAAGATTGCAGAAGAGTTGCCACCAGATTTGCCACCAGAGTTAGACGGAGGAGTTGGGACTGAACCTCCAGATGCAAGACCAATCGTGGATGGACGGGTGCCGTTGACTTGCTTGAAACCTACGCACATTTCGCGAACGCAAAGATGGTAGGCACACTGATCATCCGTGGTACATTGGGCCTTGTAATTTCCACAGCGAGGCTTCAAGAGGACGTTTGTGGCGTAGCATTCGACCCCATTAGCACAGGCACCGGCAATTTTGCGATGGCATTCGGCACCGAGAGGAAGACCTGTTGCAGTGGTCGTTGGGGAATACGTGGACTTGATGGGTGTCGCAGGAAGGACACGAGCAGGAGTGACACTTGATGAGCCGAAGGCAGTAGGCGTACTGGGTGGTAGGGGACCAGCCCGTTGGGGAGAAGCCTAGTAGTTGTGTTAGAATTGATAGACAAGCCGTTGAAGCATTATAGACGAACCATGACAGAGGCGAAGGCAGCCACGAGAACAAGAATTGATGAATGCATGACGATGTTCCGAGTGCAGATGGCAATGAAGAATCGAGAAGTGTGTGTTTTGTGTGCGGTTGAGATGGATGATATGCGAGTGTTGTTGATGATAATTGAAAGCTGTGTACCGAAGAATGGGTGGATGGGTGAATTGATGAATTTAATAAAGCAATGGGGTTGAGAATGTTGAAGAATGATGGAAGAAGAAGAGAGGAGAAAAAGGACGACGAGCCTTTTTAAGTCCTCTGAAGCTAGTTTGCAACAGAGACCTGTGGGTGGAAGTCGCAACTGCTGCAGGTGAAAAGGGAAGGCATCATCTGAGGGTAAAAGTGCCAACATTCTGGCAAATAGTGCAGGAGCGATCGAGAAGTGCTCGCTGGTCTTGCTCTTCGGAATAGAAGCCTTCTCTGTAATGGGCAAGAGTCCCACGAAAAGTCCCAAGGAGCTTTCCCGAGTTGTGACTTTTGCATTGATTTTACTCTTTGCTGGACCTATGTTGGCTTGAGGTTCATGACCATATTTGTATTGGCTCTTGGCCCTCCACCATATACAAAACCAATGTGTTTCATGCAGGCTCTGAAGGGTTGGGATCCAATTCCGAGGGGACAGATTATTGTGATATTGGAGGCTGTAAATACATTTGTATGATTTGAGACTTTAACGCCATGGTTAGCGGGAAGGTGTCTGTTGCATGGTTTTGGAAAACATGGAAACTTAAACTTAGACAAAGAAGTAGTCACTCAAGAGCCTCTCCGCATCTTATCAATAATAGTCAATAGCAGTGGAATTTGGCAAACAATGCTCGCAAGGCTCAGAACACTTTCGCAGGCCTATATCTTTCCTGGTGGAACTTGGCATATGGTTTCGAGAACCAAATTTTCAGCATTTTCTAGCCAGAATATGCCGGCATAGCAATGACCACAGCCAAGGCAAAGTGAGGGAACCTTGACACATATTACTCCAGTATTCGGTATATAGATTTTTGGTATACAGCAAATGTAAAGATCATAACGACGTATTCGTTACGCTTATGAGTTCGACAGGAGAGCGAGGTCGTTGGCTCGGAAGGATGATCCATGGGTTATAGGCCCATCGGACTAGAATGAATGATATAGTTAATATCTATAAATCTAATCTAGGTACACAAAGACAAGAAATCAAGAGCGATATAAAAGAGACGGAAAGAAGCGTTTCTGTTTTGTCGCCTCCACAAAGTTATCAGGAAGTAGGGAGTAAATATGTGACGTTTTGAGACCCAGTAATTGAGGCTGGAAGTTGAAGGTTGAAAGAGGGTTGGCGTTGGCATAACTGCGCACTGACTTCCCCGCAAAGGCTATTCCAGATTGAGGACTCTTCACTTGGGATGAACGGTCAAACCGACGATGGTAGCAAGCCACCGGTGCAGCTAAGTAGGATGCGGGAGACTTCGACTTCGTAGAGCTGGTAGAGCTGATTACAAAAAGGCAGTCTTCCAAGACCAGAGAGCCTCTCGAGCATCTCTCCTCTTAACCTTCCCTCTTTTGGCCAGTGCGGGTGCGGGAAAGATGTTCGGTGTCCTCGGAGCCGACCGGAGCCGTGACTAAGCGAACAATGCCGATTCGCCGAGCCAGAATACGCCCGCGAGATATAGCCTCATCTATGGAATTCTCCTGAATGTGGTTGCAATTTATCCCACCCGACTCTTCTACCCAACCACCACCTGTCAAACATGCCGCCCGCCATATCAATTCATTTCATAATCTAAAGAAAAATCCATACGATGCCACACTCGACGCGCGCATCGTCTGCGCCTCGACTCTCCAGCCTCAAATTCCCGGGGGACAGGGAAAGGGAAAGGGAACTATCCAGCACGCGCTCCTCGATGGAGAAGTTCCCGGATCACGTTGAACCATCCGACGGGCAACCATCATACAACTACCCTTCTAGTCCAACACACACCGGCAATGGGTATGCCAATGGGCCTCCGCCCGTGGATCGGTTCCCTCCCCGACGTGAGAGTGCAATGCGAGGGGCAGCGTGGAACAGCTCGAATAACGGCACCGCAACTACAGGAGGGAGAGGCCATAGTCGGCAGAAGAGTTTGACTGACGCCTTCAAGACTATCAGGGCGCGGAACGGGAGTGTCAGTGCAAATGTGCAGGAAATAGGTGAAGCGTTAAAGGCACCGGTGTCTCCCAAATTAATTGTTCGTCATCCTCCCCGCTCAGTCCAGACCAAAGTCAAATATGTCCCATTCCGTTCTCCCAAGCTGATTGTGCGTGTTTCTTGTAGACATTGTGTATCATATGGTATTTGTCGAGTGCCCTCACGAATACCTCTTCCAAATCCATCCTCAACGCCTTCCCTAAACCTGCAACCCTTACTATGGTTCAATTCGCCTTTGTGGCCTTCTTCTGCCTCCTCTTCAGTTGGCTATCTACCGTTTTTCCTGCCCTCAAAAATGCCGTTCCAGCTCTACGACATGGCATTCGATACCCCACCCGTGAGGTCATAAATACTACCCTCCCCCTTGCGGCTTTTCAGATTGGAGGCCATCTTTTATCCTCTACCGCTACTGCGAAAATTCCAGTTTCTCTTGTGCACACAATCAAAGGCCTTTCCCCGCTTTTCACTGTGTTCGCCTATCGCATTATATTTGACATCCGCTATCCCCTCACTACATACCTCTCGTTGATACCTCTAACACTTGGGGTTATGCTTGCCTGCTCCGCAGAATTTCGTGGGAACATCTTCGGGATTTTCTATGCTTTCCTTGCAGCCATCATCTTCGTCACCCAAAATATATTCTCCAAACGTCTTTTCAATGAAGCAGCCGCTGCGGAAGCTGCTGGAAGACATACCCAAACCCGAAGGCTAGATAAACTCAACCTTCTCTGTTATTCTTCCGGTCTCGCTTTTCTCATAACCTCTCCTATCTGGTTCTGGTCCGAAGGCCTCAATCTCATGCTTGATTTTCTCAACGATGGTACAATTGACCTGCAAGAAAACAAACGTGCATTCGACCACGGCCGTTTGGCCTTGGAATTCGTGTTCAATGGCACATTTCACTTTGGGCAAAATATAATTGCCTTTGTACTCCTCTCAATGGTGTCGCCTGTAACCTACTCCGTCGCCTCACTCATTAAACGTGTTTTCGTGGTCGTAATAGCCATAATATGGTTTCAAAACCCTACAACAAAAATCCAAGGTCTAGGAATAGCCCTTACATTCCTCGGTCTCTACCTTTACGACCGGACCAATGAGTCCTCCAAGAAATCAGATCGTAAAGCAGCACAACTGAATATCAAACCCGAATCTTTACTTCCAACGACCAATATTGGTCGTCAGGATACAATTTTCGAATCCCCAGTAACGATGCAGAGTAATAACAAAGTCCGTGGCTTCTCAAATGGCTACGCCCTCTCTCCAAATCCAGATGACAAGAAGTCTGATGATGGGCCTGGAAGAAATGGCGGGAGGGCAAGGGGTTCGAGTAATGCCTCTTGGTTGCCTCCTGGAACACGACAAGAAGAAACGTGGCGACCAAGGGAAAACGGGGGTCTACTCCCAGAAAATTATAAAGTTTCTGTAAACTAGAGTTTCCTCTTGGTTTTTTTCTCATCACCTCGTTTAATTTGTCTATACACGTGGAGTCTACTGTGTTTGTGAGGTGGGTAGGTCTGGTGTCTCCATGGGAAAATAGAAAGGAAATCATGCATAAACGACCTGGGATGTGTTGATTATTTTGTCTTTCTCTCCGATTCTTGGGTAACATTATATAGAGTTCATTGGTGGCGTTTTTCAATCATGTTTTTTGGACGGAGTAGACAGGATTCTGTCTTGGATTGTATGATATCTGAATAGAGTATTGAGCACTTTTCGCCTCGCTCGGGAATAGAAATATAGAGCAGTCGGTTCAAAATGGTCTCTTGTAAGTATTGTGACAGAGGATCACAGAGATCTCGTTCGATGCGAAGGCTGCTGCTCGAATCTACCAGTCATAGTAATATTCTTACCGCTATCTGAGGACTTAAGAGAGTACAAAGTCAATCATTGGACCTACTGAAGGTGATCACTCACGTGTCTCCTCTGGTCCATTTCAAAAGTATACTACCCTCATTCCCACCGATGAGATCCTCGGACAGCGAAAGAAATTCACCACCGTCTACAAGACCAAAGCTCACAGCCATCTGATTGGCAATTCGGCCGGCTGTAGCTCTATTTACTAACCAATCTCGCTTAACTCACCAAGAAGACAACAACACCAAAGATTCTCCCAAAAGAAGACCAAAAAACTGAAACAGCAAAATTCAAGGCTCTCCCCTTCAGTCCGTAATTGGGTGAGAAGGTTTGGGCCTGTAGAAGATCCCACGGATAGGGGCAGGGATTTTTAAAGTTAACATTCTTTACGCGGATGTGTCGCGCCCACCCCGGTACCCACCTACATTGGCCAATCCTGGGTTGGGTGTGAGATGCCTAGGGATCTCTTATTTGAATCTCTACGGTCAATATTGTGATGTGTGGGGTAGGTGTTGGGGAGGCGGTGTGGCTACTTATTGCATGAACGGGGTATGTGAGAGTTGTGGAGCTTGTGATTCACGCTACCTGGCTGTCTTTTGAGTGTTGCTTGTTATAGGTAGACTTGTGAGTGAGTATTATCAACGGCCCGTACGTGAAAACATTAAACGAAATCGATTGCAGGAAAGCAAGGAGTGCGACGAAGCGGCTTCAAGCTAGGTCTTCACAGAAATGTCTCAGAAAGGGATCATCAACGGGGAGGAGTCATAGAGTTTTTGAGTGATAAAATATTTACATTGTAGTAAGCGAGTGTGATGCTCAGTTTATGGATAAAAAGAGTAATACCAGAAGCTATCAAAGCTCAAACTGGCATCGAAAAAAAGCGTGTATATACGAGAAACTCAGAACTCCCATGTCAGCTTGGACAAAAAGACAAGATCTCCGAAAAGTTCGAGGTCACATTCAACCTCCAATCTCGCAAATCAAGTCCTTCTCATCAGTAACCTGCGTTTGTTTATCATCAGGTCTGTTATAGCTGGTATCGCATGGGAATTTCTCGCATCCAGAATGGACACCATTTCCGCTTTGAGGATACAACCAGTAAACACCCTCGTTATTGGTAAGGTTGTCAATGGCAGAGACGTCGTACCAGCTCTTATCTTCAAAGCCGTTGAATTTGACCTCTCCGCGGATATCGACTGGTCCACAGTCGGTCGCGGACTTGGAGGTTTGCCAGGCTCCTTCCCATCCTTCTGGAATGGGTACGTAGACGGTTCCTTTGCGTGGAACGGCGATTTGTGGGATGATGGCACTTCCTGGTGCGGAGTACCAGCATACTGTTCTATCTGTGGTGTAGCGGGAAACGAAGATGATGGAGTTTGCTGATGCGATGGAGGCGATGGTTGCCATTGCGGCGATGATGTTGAGGTATTGCATTTTTGTTTAGTTTTTGGTTTTGTTTTTTAGGGTTTCTTGGATTGGCTGTGGGTATTTGATTAGACTAGCCATAATCAAGTAGTTGGTAATAAATGAATGTAAAGAAGTTTGATAGTAAGAAAATTCGAATCTAGCGAGGAGGAAAAGAAAACTGTAAAAATGACAAGTCTAGCTTGTTGTGATGGTATATCGGAAAAGTCTGAACAGATGTATTTATATGCATCTGAACAAAGGAGACCTCGAGAGGAGATCAAAAATAGATAGCGTGGCTTGTTGAATGGAAAACAAAGACGCCAAGCGTTTTCCAAAGTGTATATAATTAGCATAATCACAATCGCAAACAAAGGAACCTTCTTTCAATCTAAGAGGCTCTGGCTAAAGTATGATAAAAGACAGAGACTTTCTATTTGGCGAAGGTAGTCTCAATGGGCAAATAAATAGCAGTATGATGTCAAGAGTAGTGGACATAGAACAAAGAAGGGGGTGGCGAGCTATTCGTTATGCCCAATCATGTCGCGGAAACCATAAGGATGCAAGCTACTTTTGGCAGTGTCCCCTATCAACGACGCCTATCAGTATGATCAGCATACAGCGCCGGTTATGCGCTTATTGGAAGCTTTCTATATTCTGAGGCTATTCGCAAGATCATTCTTTTAGCGAATGTATGTGCCGTAGAAAAGAATAAGCAAAGAAGTATGGAGAACATATCGCTTTGTAATAAGCATAATCTCTATTTAAAGATACCTCTTTTTATAAGCCAAGGATCAATTAAAACATTATTGATGCACTGAGTTTCGTCAAGTGGTTTGTTTCTACAATGTTTGCTGGTTGTCCAAGTTCTAGGGTCTTCTAAGAAGTTGGATCTCTTGACGTTTTCAAACGCTCTCCTAGCCCTGGAAATATCCCTATGGAAAAGGTTAGGCGAAAATGCATGGTAACATTCAGAGGCCGTCATAGTGATGACCTCACTACTAATCAGAACTCTTTAAGTGACATGGTTCGGCAGGAGATGATCTTGACGGGTAACTGAATTCTCAGTTCTAGCACGTTCCCAATAGTTCACCCAGCTTCAAACCAACAAGGAAATCGAAATTTACGGGGAATAGCAACGCCTTTGGGGCACTTCGTTGACTTCATACTTGAGCAGTCGTAAGAGATCTGTTGCTGTGCGCTTATCTGTTCCGTGATTGAAAGATGGAAGTAGAGTACCTTTGAAAGTATTAGTGTAAGGGATTAGAAGAGACGACGCAGTATAACGAAAATCATCTACCAGATTGTCAGCAGTTTTGCTGTGACACATAGTTATTCTGCAAGATCTAAGTCAATGATTCCTCGCTAAAGTCCTACTTATCTGCAAAAACCAAAACACAGAGAAATTCATCTGACAAAAGCAACTGACACTTGTGGATCAAGTGCCTGTTATCTTATTCAATACAGGAATTTGTGACATCATAGTTGTGTATGAGAATGCTGTTGCAGTGACGAGTGTCTCAGTTTCCAAAAGCTCACTTTTGGACTGAAGAAACATACTTGCCCAAGTCTATATACCACGACAATCTTGTGTATTTTGCGATTATGACTTGTAGACCAAAGATCTACATAGAATTTGCCACTAATCATTCCTTCGAAAAGCAAGAGTTTTCAAAATCGTGGAAAGTGGAGGGAAAGTGCTCTTGAGTGGCGATGGTGGAATACTTTTACAACCAATGATTGTCAAAAAAATATATAGAAAGCTTCTAGAACAATTCCACGCCGCACATCATGTGGGACCAGTATTTCAACTGGCAAGGAGCCCGTGGAAAGTCATTCCATTTGATCTGCAGATTGCCAAGCTATACCAAGGCCTGCCAAGGAGTAATTAAGCAACAAGAAGCATTTTCTCCGCTTCGCTTAAAGCTTTCATTGGTCCCCACCCACAACGCCGAGGCTCTTCTTCTTATCTTCTTGGCTCCTTCTCTCTTGGGTAATTTGTATGATAAAGATGTGCATCAATACGACTGTGGTATTGTTTGCTTCTCGGGTCATCAATAAAGCCCGGAATACTCAACAGCTCTGGAGAAGTTGGCATCTTCTAATCCTAACTAGGCACCGAGCCGCTTCCAAATGTGAGCCCTGCATATTGAAGCTGTCCCTGTAAAAAAGATATGCTCGGAACATGTAAGCTGGACGACCGCGGGGCTTCAAATAGAATAGAAAGGACGCGTCTTGTAACTTTTGGATACTCCTTTACTTCATCACAGTCTCCTTGTTGTGATCCCAAAGTCAAGCGGTCAAGATGAAGTTCACACAATCTCTCGGTGCTGCTGCAGTAGCTGCCATTGGACTTGTTTCTGCTACTCCATTGAAGTCATCGCCCAATGTAGCGCGAGATTTGCCATTAGTTCAATCGGTATGTGGGAATTTCTCCATGAATCTTCAAAATGAAGACTCCAACTAATCATGACTATTATAGAACCAACTACGTCGACTTCTTCTGCGTTCTGAACTCCTGAAAAAAGCCCAACATCTAGAAGACATTGCATATGCCACTCCATCAAGGAATAGAGTCATTGGTTCCGAAGGTCACGATAATACTGTAGCCTGGATCAAGGAAACAATCGAAAAGTATCCAGACTATTACACCGTTTCTATACAGCCCTTTGAATTGTCGGTTGGCCTTAATGCATCCTTAACAATCGAAGGTGTCTCAATGGAAGTCTTTGCTGTCACCATTGCTCCAGGTGGAGACGTTAGTGGACCATTGATTTATGTTCCTAACCTTGGATGTGAAAGTGTAAGTCAATTCCTTTGACGCAGAGGCATTTCTAACCCTGTACAGGCTGATTACACCAATGTCACCCCTGGAAGTATCTTTGTCGTGATGCGCGGGAATTGTGTATCTGCGATCAAAGATGCTCTTGGATCGACAGCTGGAGGTGTTGCCATGCTGGTTTACAACAATGTCCCTGGAAACTTGGAAGGTTACGCCCTTCAGGAATTCAGCGTACCAGAAGGGACATATGTTCCAGCCGGTGGGATTGCGCAGGCTGATGGAGAAGGTCTCGTAGCACGAATCCAAGCCGGAGAGACAGTCAATGCTCACCTCACAACTACCACCCGAATTGCAACTATAAACAATGTTATCGCAGAGACAATTGCCGGAGATCACGAGAATGTTATCTTTATGTCTGGTCACTCTGATTCTGTAGCTCAAGGGTACGTTGTCACGAAAGTCCGAGAGATTCCGAGATGCTAATACTTGGTAGCCCTGGAATCAATGACAACGGCTCGGGAACAATTTCTTTGTTGGAAACCGCGGTTCAGTTAACCAACTTCAGCGTCAAGAACGCCGTTCGATTTGCATGGTGGGCTGCAGAGGAAGCGGGTCTCTTGGGAGCTGAACATTATGTCACCGTTGCTTCGCAATCTGAACTTGATAAAATTCGCCTAATGCTTGATTTTGATATGATGGCTTCACCCAATTATGCCTACCAGATTTATGATGGAGACGGAAGTGCTTGTAAGTTTAAAATGCATTCTCGGGCATCAAGACGAATCCGCTATACGGATGCCTCCAGTTATCACTAGAGACTTTTATAGAGCAAAGACTGACCTACATTTTCTAGTTGGCGAGTCTGGACCCCCTGGATCCGGGGAAGCTGAACATGAATTTGAACGCTACTTTGCCGAAGAAGCAGGTCTCAACTTTACGTCGATAGAATTTGACGGCCGTTCAGATTATGGTCCATTTTTGGCAGCAGGTGTTGCCACGGGAGGTATTGCCTGTGGAGCCGAGGGTATCAAGACCGTTGAGGAAGCAGCCATGTTCGGTGGAACTGCTGGGGTTGCATACGACTCTTGCTACCACAGCGGTTGTGACAACTTCAACAATCTTGATGTTGGAGCTTGGATTCAAATGACGAAGGCTATTGCGCATATGACTGCTATTTTTGCCAACAGTTTTGACCTCTTACCACCAATGAACGTCACTGTCAAGGCGAGGAAAGTTTCCAAGCCTCGTAGCTCCAAAAAGTTCAGCAAGAGAGTTTAGACATTAATTAGCACTTGAAAGAATCATTTTATCTGGCTAAATTCCATAATACTGAGGTAGCCTCACGTGTAGAACTCCCCCATTTCACTTCTCTTCTTTGGCATTCAATAATGTATTCGGAAGAACATGAGGGTTTACAATGATTCAATTGGTAAAGAGCAAGCCCAGTGCTTTGGTGCGCTTCTTTGCTTGTTCAAATGAAATGCCGAGGACCAATTTCATTTTTCTAAAAGGCTACAATAATTGGGCTTGTACCCCATCGATTCTTCTCGAAGAAGAATCAAGACGGTCGCAAAAATTATAGTGCGGTTTGACTAAGGTCTAGAGCTGCGGATTTCCTCAGCCTTTTGCAAAACGAACTTGTGTGTCCTTTTGGCTCTCTTTGTCTTTGTTGGAGTGTCGTAATACTTCTCATCCGTCTCTTCCTCAGTCGTGTCCCCCGTTGGTTCTACCATCTTTTCTACCGCCTTTTCGGCTTCCTCCTCTCCATTTTCTTCCTCATCTTCTTTCTCAGTCTCCCCAAACTCCCCAAACTCAGATTCGTCACTACCAGGAAGGACCCCGTAGAGTTCTTTTTGAGGTTTTGCAGTCTTCGGGTCTCGCCTATTGATCTTCATGGAAACAGCGAGCGATACAGGAGAAGCACCATCATGTGCTGAAGACGCGAGAATAAACGGTGGGGAGGTATCGGGGGTGATGTAGTTTCCATGCTCCAAGATCTCCGAGAGTTTCTGTTCCATGGCCTTTTTGTTTTTTCGGGCGAAACCAAAGCATTTCGACATGAATATTTCGATTTGTCGTAAATCGTGATTAATAGACCGTTGGACTGACAACTTAGGATCCTTGTCTTTGAAGTAGGGCGACCTTTTGAAGTTGAAGTAGATACCTTTGGGAGGTCGAGTAATCCCTCGTGGAGGTATACCTTTTGCCAACGGGGTTTTGCCAGGTCCCCATCCTCTAGAATCGTCTTCTGACTCGTATCCAAGGCGATCGTCATGATAATGAATGGAAAGACCGGAAATATCATGAGATCCAAATACATAAGTGAGGTCTTCAGGTGCTTTTCCCGCATAAAGTGTTTGAATGAGCCAAAACCATACATTCATATTACCCGACAGAAGAGCATCATGTATGGACTCGAAATTCCATTTGGACACACCGTCTCTTGGTGGGTTACCACAAAGTAGTATGAGCTTTTCGGATTCTGGTAATCGCATTGGAAGACCACCTGTAACCCAAAATCTTCAAGTCAGTATATATCTTTCCAGAATATTCGGGGGTAGTAGACAATTGGGAATTGTGCCAAAGTTGAAGCATCTCTCAGCTCTTGAGAATATTCATCAAGCAGGCGTTTTGACTGAGGAGAAGGGTACTAACATGGACCAAGGAATGGGCCTCCTGCATTTCCAGCTTGGGACCATCGTCTAAGCCTGAGTCGTGCAAGTTTAGTAAACATGGTATGGAAAACCGCAGCTAGTTCTCTGGTGACCAGGCCCAGGTAGCATGCTAATAGGATTTGACCGACCAGAGCGTCGCAGAGACGGTGTCGTGGGAGGTATCCATCAATTGCCGCGGATACTAATGCGAGGACGTTGATCTGAAATTGTGATTTGTTTAGGAGTGGTCTCCAACCATAGTCACTGTTATCTGTGTCGACCGTCTTCATGATGGCGGGTTTTCGTGATGCGTATACTGTAAGAAAGTATCAAATCAGTCGAGCAGTTGTTTTGATGAAGCAACAGTGTTGTCGGTTGACCCACGACGCGAGGCGCGCCTCGAGAGAAAGAGACCGCAAAGGTTTCATTCACCTTGACCTAGCCAGTCCCATACTCACTTCGTCTTCAACAAGTTTTTGGCGTGGCTATTTGCGGGTCTACTCTACCTAGCATTCGTTCATCTAATCTCTATGTCCTAATATCAAACCACTAACGCCTAAATAATGAACTTCACCTGCTGTAGCATTCTCAAGCACATTACTCTCCTCTCCTCAAGGCGTGGATTGAAACGTGCATTTGCAACCAAGCTTACAAGCACTCACAAGCACTTACAAGCACTTACATGGCGAATGTATGGAACAATTAAGATATCTTTTTGGTTTGAGTAGCTTTACCCTTTTTGCAAAGCTTTGAAATTCCTTGAAGCAACATCCAAGTTCACATTGATCGGGGACTTGTTCAAAAAAAAAAGGAATATTGTGGATTATTTACTGTTGATTTCTTGTCAACCGCCGCGAACCGCAGTCAAATTTGAAAATGATGTGCGTGTGTCTTAAGCGCGAGACAAAATGTGTGTTTTCAAGGTTTACATGGACGTTAACAGTACTAGGACCCAGTGGGAGCACGGGAGTCCATAACACTATGGACCCCCGGTCTATAGTGTTATAGACTACCGTACTTTTAGTAGGAACATTAAAATTTTATAAATTTTTAAAACTCTTAAAAAACTAGGATATATATTATAATATAATCTGTATTCTCTAAATTATATATATCTTCTAGATCTACTTTATATAATTTATTTACCTCTACCTTCTAAGAATAATACTCTTTAAAATAAGTAAATCCCCTTAGGTAGACCTACTACTATAACTCTACTTTGCCTTGCTCGAAGGTTCTAATAAATGTCCAAGTTTCTCCAACCTCGGGACTTTGTATCATTGGTTCGTACTCATCCCCTGAGGTGCTATCTTGTGACTCCGATGATTCCAATTCGACGGTCGTAAGCAGCTCGCCTTCCTGTGTCTGGAGGGGCGAGGGATACTCGTCATCGGATCTCGTTGCGTAGTACTCGTTGAGTATCGGATCGTTCTCGAGTTGGGTGTGGATTCCCATCTCCTCGAGTTCATCGCTAGTCAACATTCTTTTCTCAATCACAGCTATTTCCCTTCTAACTGTAGCGTTGATTTGCTTTGTTCCTTTCCAGGGTTTCTTCGCACCCTTCGCGCGGCACTCGTTTGCTCGATGGCCGGTTTTGCCGCAAGAGTAACATAAGTTTTGTTCGCGCCTTCGGTTGCGTTCCTCCTGGGAAAGGCCTCCTTCCCGCGGGAAAGGNTCTTCGCACCCTTCGCGCGGCACTCGTTTGCTCGATGGCCGGTTTTGCCGCAAGAGTAACATAAGTTTTGTTCGCGCCTTCGGTTGCGTTCCTCCTGGGAAAGGCCTCCTTCCCGCGGGAAGGGTTTTCCTTCGGCGGCGTTTACTTCACGGCTTTTCCCGTGATAGGAACGATTCCACCGCTTGTGTCCCTTGGACTGATTTTCCTGCTTCGGGGATGACTT